GCCTGGGAACGGTAGATCCCTCAGCCCTGGGGATGGCTCCCCACAGGGGTTCTCTGTCGGCTCCAACCTCTCGGGGCGCTCCACCAAGCCCACACCCAGCTCCTGGGAGCAACTTGCCGTAAGCTGGTCCCTGCTTTCCCACCGTCTGGGTCCTGGCAGGAAGCGGAAAGTGCAGCCCCACCCAGCGTCCCGCCTCTGCCCGTGGTCCACAGGCTTCATAGCCTGGGAACCTGGTGAGTCTAAGGCCCACAAGGTCTCTTCTGGCTGACGCAGGTCCTGATGGTTTGAGCAGACGGGCGCTGGCCCACCGATGAGTCCCGGGACAACCTCTCACAGGAGCCTCTGAGGAAGGGCGTCCTCCAGGAAAGGCCTAGGACACAGAGGCTATTGTTTCTGTTCTGCCACAGACAGAGCTCCTCCACCTGTCTGCTGCCCTCGGGACACCTAGGAGGCTGTCCCTGTCCTGGTTCTGGTTCCCCAGGGAGGAAGCCCCAGTGCTGGCAGGTGGAGGGAGCAGCCGGGCCCGTGTGGCTTCGCAGGGCTCACTGGGTTCAGCCCGGGGCCTCTGGCTGCCAGGCCAGGAGGATTCTGTGACGCTGAGGAGCCAGTGGAGCCCTCCAGGTCACCAGTGCCCCTGAACCTCTGGCGCAGCACTCTGACAGGGCCACCAGGTGCACCTGCACCAGCCAGGTCAGCCCGGAGCTCACCAGTCTGGAGCTCACGCCTGCCAGGCCTCCGCAGCCACAGGCCCCTCCTTGGTGCTGCCATGTGATTTGTTAAGACAGATCACACCAGTCACCTGAAATACACTTCAGGGAAAAATGGATCATTTCAGTCTCCTTTTTGTGGTGGTGCTAGGAGAAGTGGGCGGCCACAGTTCATTAAAAATTAAATGCCGAGGAGGCGTCATTAATTTCGCTGGCATTGCAGGGCTCCCATTTCTCAGGGAGCAGGACTGCCAGGCCCCAGCGTTTCTCTGGCTCCCCGTGGAGGGTGCCATCTATATGGGTGGGCACTGCCTGCTGAGCGCCATGGGCGGCTGCCCAGATAGGGGCCCACAGCCCCTGGGTAAGTGGACTAGGGTCTGGCTGGACTCTCCCCCTAGGAGGGGGCTCAGCGCTCAGTTTCTAGGGTGCTAGGAGGAGGCTAAGGGGCCTCCAGGAGAAGATGTTGGGGGCACGACTAGCCCCAGGCCAGCAGTCCCAACCCCACGGTGCCTGGGCGGGAAGTTGGCTGTCAGGAAGCCCACCGGTGAGGTCCTGGCAATGGGATGGGTTGCATTTCTGTTTCCTGGCTGTGGAGGCCAAGGGGAGTCCAGCAGGACACACTGGCTTCACGGTCCTGGCAGGCGGCTGCAGAGGCCCAAGCCCCAGAGGCCCAGCCGTGCCAGGTCTGTGGGGAGGTAAAGGGAGGAGCAGGAGCTCCTGGGAGGCTTGTGACCACTGGAGGGAGGAGGGTGTGGCCGTGGAGCGGAGTGTGGGGTGATGGTTAGGGTGGAGCCAGGCACCCACCTAGGAGGGGAGGCCAGGCAGGAGCCCCAGGCCCAGGGGGACGTCAGAGGGGAGCCCTCGTGGGGCCTTTAGGCTGAAGAGACAGGCAGGGCTGAGCAACCACAGGGCAATGTCCAGGGATACGAGGCAGGTGGCGCAGAGGGAGTTTGGGTCCTATCCCACCTGGGTAGGGGACCCTTAGGAGGGCCAGGAGCCGGTGGGCGGGACCTCTTAGCTACAGGGAAATAGAAACTGAGGACAGAGCTATGGGACCTGCTGATGGCTCTGGTCCAGCCGAGGGGAGGGTACAGGAGCCAGAGGCCGGCAGGGGTGGAGGGGATGTTGGCCTGGTACCGTCAGGAAAGGAGAATTCTGCAGGGGATTGGAGGTAACGCCAGAGGGCAGAGTGGGGCCGGACAGCCGCCCACAGAGCCAGTTGGGAAGTCACCCCTGCATGGCACTTAATTCCTGGGCTGGGTTGGGGAGAGGCACCTGTGGCCAGCCCTGGGGCCCCCAAGGAGAACGGATCGGGGAGGAGAAAACCAGAGCTGGGGGAGGCTGTGCTAAGAGGCCCCAAGAGGAGGAGAGATTCTGGGGCCTGATCCCCATTAAGGGCACAGTGAGGCTCCCTGCCCGAGAGGAGAGGGTGGGAGGCAGCAGGGGCAAGTGAGGCGGGCGGACCCCCCTGCATGGAGGCTTTTGCCATGGAGGGAGGGACTGTGGTGTGAGGCAGGGAGGGTGCGTTCTTAAGCTCCATGCTCTTTGGACCTGCTAGTTCCTGGGGACCCCTGGCAGTGAGGGAGGGAGGACCTTAGGAAACCCTGGGCTCAGTCCCCAGGGGCAGCTCCCCACTCAGCCCTGCCTGCCCCTAGACCCAGCCAGACCAGGCCCAGCCCAGCCTGGACCTCCAGCATCTTGTCTGAGCCTGTCATTCAGAGAAGACAGTGGTGGACAAACCCCCCAAAGGGACCCTCATGCACTGAGGGGCCTCCCAAACTGGGGCTCGAGGCACACAGACAAGGGTGGGTTCCAGGGTGTGGGGTAGGAGGAGGGGCCAGGGGGAAGGAGGAGGGCCCCGGGGGAGAGAGCAAAGTCGTCTGTGCTGAGGGGTTTCGGGACATGGTGGGGCACTCTGGGGGCAGACTGACCCCCCCTTAGCATTGGGTTCAAATCCCACTGGTCTATGGAAAGCTTGTCCTGCTGCCTGGCCCCTGATGCCCTGAGTGTGCCAGGTGGGGTGACCAGCCTGCTCCAGGACCTGGCCTGAGCCTCTCTTCAGCAGGGCGCCCAGAGCCACGGCACCTCTTCCTGCGCCCTGGGCCCTTCTTTATGTCATTTATTTATTTATTACTTGTTTTTGAGACAGGCCCTCACTCTGTCACCCAGGCTAGGGTGCGGTAGTGTGTTGACAGCTCACTTCAGCCTCAAACTCCTAAACTCAGACGATTCTCCCTCAGCCTCCCAAGAAGCTGGGACTACAGGCACGTGCCACCATGTATGGCTATTTTTTATAGAGATGGGTGTCTTGCTATGTTGCCCAGGCTGGTCTCAAACTCCTGGCCTCAAGCAATCCTCCCGCCTCTGCCTCCCATGGCCCTGGGATTATGGGCATGAGCCACTGTGACCAGCCCCTGGCCCCTTCTTGAGCTCTATGACCAGCAGAGCTCTGTGGCCACTGGGGCAGATCAAGGCAGGTGCTGGGACTGTACCAAGACCCTCCCTCCTACCCACAGCAGCCCCACCACAAAGGCTGCTGCCCACACCTGCCCATATCACTTACCCTGAGTGTTGTGAGCTCTGGGAAATGCTGAATATTTCCTAACTTTTGGAGATGTTAGGGTCACCAGCCCTGGGCCAGGCAGTGACATCAAACCCTCAGATTTGATTGCTGGGAGCCAGTGCCTGCTCAGAGGGGAGATGAGGCTCACAGCCCACCCACTGGGTGTCACAGGCTACAGCCCCGGTGGATGGTGACAAGGAAGGGGTTGCAGCAGGAGCAGGGGATGGGCTGTGCTTACCTCCCCCCTACCTCTGGATAGCTGCCCTAGGACCTCTGCTTGAATGCTGCCTCCTCCATGCAGCCCTCCAGGATCCTTCCAGGCAGCACAAGTCTCCCTCCAGGCTCCCCTATCTGTCTGCCTTACTGTGTTGTGGCCCTCACACTGCACTGGCAAGGGGAAGCCCAACCCGAGGAGCTTGCTTGGACTGCTTGTTCTGCCCCCATACCATCCCCAAGGGAGGCGGTATGCCTCTCTTTGACCCCAGGGGGCAAGGCCAGGCACGGGAGGCAGCTCCCCGAGGGCTGAGGCAGCCAACTGAGAGGAGCAGCCATCGTGGAGGGCACAGTGGCCATGGCTGGGAGCAGCCGAGGGGCCCATGGGGGACAGCCCAGCACCCCAGGGCACAGGCCGTTTAGGGGCACATGTGCTCCCCCTTCCCAGAGGCGGGCCATGCTTGCTGCGGGAACCATGGCTCCGGGTCTCCCTCCCGTCTGTCCTGCAGGCAGGCAGCATTGGAATTTTCATCTCAGGGGAACATGAAACCCTGACCCAGCCTGGCCTGCCTCCCACCACAGCCGGGCACAGTAGGGCCTGCATCCAAGGCTAGGGCAGTGGGGGCAGCAGCTGTCCAACCTCAGCTTTGCCTGCCTCTCGGTGGCCAGCCTGGGTGATGCAGGTGGAGCCACGGTAGGTGGGCCATGCAGTCTCTCCACCCCACCTCGCCCCAAATGCTGCTGGATACCCTGGTCTCTTCTCAGGACTGCCGGGCCCTGCTGAAGGCCAGAGGGCTGGCTGGCAGGCCCCACGAGCAGCGGTGTGCAGGGGAGCTCAGGGGTGTCTGGGAACTGGTGGCTGGGGCCACTGGTGAGCCCAAGGGAAGGGGAGCGGCCCTGGCAGGAGGGACCCCATAGCTGGCCTGCAGGGTGGGTGCAGGGGTGACCACTTCCTGCCAGCCCATCTTCCCTCACACCCCTTCAGGCTGCAGTTGGGGGTAGCCTCGGAGCACAGCCACCTGTGGCCTCCAGGCAAAGCAGCCGACCCTCAGCTGTGGACGGCCTGTGTGACATGGTCCTACGGTGTGTTCTGAGCACCATGTCGAGGGCCGCATGGGCAACTGGACCTCCTGGCAGCTGCCCTGCACCCACGGAGGCTTGGGTGAGGGTGTGTGGAGTGGGCACCGCACCCTGAGCCCCAACAGGGTGGGCTGGAGGGCCCACGGGTGCAAGGAGGAATGTTTAGAGGAGCCGAGGCTGGGTGGGCCGTCTGCTGGGCATGACGGACACCAGGGTCCTCCCAGGTCTGAGGTGGAAGCAGTGGCCCTGCTGGGCCCCGTCCGTCTTCTCAGCTCCTGCAGTTATAAAAAGTCAGTCTTGTTGGGGCTTCTGGCATGTCCCCAGCCCCAGCCCCTCTGGCCCTGAGGCCCCATGCCCCTCTCTGCTCCTCTGGGATCAGCGTGCCCCCAGCCTGAGCCCTGCTGGCCTGAGCCCCCACACCCCTCTCTGCTCCTCAGGGTCCAGGTGGAGTTCTATGTCAACGAGAACACCTTCAAGGAGCGGCTGAAGCTGTTCTTCATCAAAAACCAAAGATCGAGTGAGTGGGGTTCCTGGGGGGGCCACTCCCAGGCAGGGAGGCATTGAGGGTGCCGAGAGCAAGCCTGGCAATGGGAAGGCTGGGCTGTGAGCTCAGGGATGAGTCCACAGGTGAATCCCTGCGAGCTGCGCCGGAATTTGAAAGCAGGGTGGGGTAGGTCTGCATGGTGAGTGGGGCACAGGGTAGCCCCTCTCAGCTTCACACTGCCTGAGACCAGGGCCTCTCCAGTGGGACCTGTGGGGACACTGTCCTGCCTGCTAGACACCGGCTGGGCAGGGTGGGGCTGTCCACAGGCTCCAGCACGGTCTCCCCTGTGGCCATGCCCGGCCTCCCACCACCCCCATACAGCCCCACCCTCCCAGCTGCTCCCTGCCCTGTTCCCAGCCAGAGCTTGGCCTCACAGGCCCCCCAGGGATACAGGGTGAGGACTTGGGGGTTTCTCAGGGACTCCACATCTACCTGCCTGCTCCCCAACCCCCATCCTGTCCCCCAAGAAGTGGAGTGGCCTCTGGAAATCCCCTGAACCAAGTTCAGGCACCTGTCAGGTGGAGCCAGGGACAGAGCTTCTCGGAGGCTGACCCAGGAGCATCGGCCCCCAAGCACCGCAGGGCACACAGAGCTCCGGGTGCAGCCTGAGTGTGGGAGGGGAGCGCAGCTGAGGCCATCCAGATTGCCCAGCCAGACCTGGGGCAGGCCCCGCTCCCCAAAGCCCAGGGCTGGGTCAGAGCCCTGACGCCGCTGCCCTCCCGACAGGCCTGAGGATCCGGCTGTTCAACTTCTCCCTGAAGCTTCTCACCTGCCTGCTCTACATTGTGCGCGTCCTGCTGGAAGACCCAGCCCTGGGCATCGGATGGTGGGCCACCTGCGCGGCCGGGCAAGGGGTTCTGAGTCCCAGGGCTGAGCCTTCCTGCCGGGCCATTACAGAAGCTGATGGCATCTCTGGGGGAGCCCCTGTGCCTGGGGCCTTTCAGAGTCCCTCCTTCCCCAGTGCCTGTCCCAGGATGGAGAGAGCCAAGGACTCAGTGCTCAGGCTCCCACAGATGGTTCAGTGTAGGGAGAAGGGTCCCCATTGTAAGCTTGCAGCTGTGCCTTAGCTGGTAGCGGACCCCAGAAGGTCCACAGAAAGGCTGGAGCGCCTAACAAGTCCCTCTCTGACCCCACAAGTGTCTCTGTGCTCACTTGAGTTTCTGCAGGTCAGGAAAGGGGGTGTCCAGCCCCCTGGAGAAAGCCCCTACCTGTTTCTGGGGGCATCTTCAACCCCTCTTGGGTCCCAAGGAGTCCCCTTCCCCGGGTCCATTGTCCCAGGGCCCATGCTTCAGGGACTTCTGGGAGAGGTGCTGGGGGCCTCGAAGGAGCCGCCACGAGGTGGGTGGGAACTTGCTGTCTCAAGTCCTGCTCCATCTCCTTCTGCTGCTGCTGCTTCGAGAAGTGGTGCTGCTGGGACCTCCTCTGTGCCCAAGGTGCCTTGGCAACTCCTGGTCACCTCTCTGTTGGTCCCAGGGGACATCGGCAGGGCCCTGAGGCCCTCGGTGCTGGATTCTTGTCCTGCATTATGTCTCTGGGGACTGGCCCCCACACTGAGCCTCCGCTCTGGCTCTCCGGCACTTGGAGGCTGGGCTCTACTTCCTGTTTCTTCTCTCCCCACTCCTGCCTCACTTCCTCGCTCCCTTGGTCACTGGTTCTGTCCTGCTTCCTTGTTTCCAGAAATCCTTCCTCTGAACATCCTCTGAGGATGGCGCCGCTAGTCCTTTCTTGCTTTACGTTTTCCCCATCTGCTGGGCCCGTTTCTCCCGAGCTCATATTGACCCGATTTCATACCCGTAGATGTCCTCGAATGGCGCCGTTTTTGCGTAAGAGTGCTCGGCGCAGAGGGCTCTGCAGCCACACGTGCGATGTCTTGTCACCCTCCAGCCGCTGGGGTGAACCCTGCCAGCATGCTGGTCCCTTGTGTGGCTGTGCAAAGTAGGTTCTTCCCCAGAGAGGAAGGCCTGGCTTCTGGGGGCTTAAAGGCATGTAAACTTCTGCTCAAACCCCTTTTCACCTGTTACTCCAGAACAGGGGGGCCTGGCGTCCCCAGGCCAGAGACTTACCTTGTCCTAAGAACAAACCTCCTGTCTTTGTCTAGATCAGAAAAGGGCAGAACCCACTAGGATAGTTTGGGAAGAAGAACTAGGCCCTAACTGACTCTCAAGCCCCTTCCTGGGTCAGCCCACCCCAAGTCCCAGCGGCTTCTGGTTTCACATCTCCATAGGGCCCACGTCTGTCGTGTTCACTGCCCATCCCCTAGCACAGCGCCCAGGACACAGACGATGGTGGGAGGATGGGTGGATGATGGATGGATGGGTGGATGGATGGTGGATGATGGATGGCTGGCTGCATGGGTGGATGGATGGACGTGTGGGTGGATGGAGAGACGAGTGGGTGGATGGATGTGTGAATAGATGGAGGGATGGATGGATGGGATGAGTGAGTGGAAAGATGGATGGGTGGATGGACGGATGAGTGGATGGATGAAGGGATATATGGATGATGGATGAGTGGATGGATGATGGATGGGATGAGTAGAAGGATGGATGGATGAGTGGATGAAGGGATGGATTAACGGATGATGGATGAATGGATGAGTGGGTGGATAGAGGAATGGGTGGATGGATGGAGGGATTAGCAGATGGAATGATGGATGATGGATGGATGGGATGAGTGAGTGGAAAGATGACTGGATGGTTGAGTGGACGGATGAAGGGATGAATGGATAGATGGATGATGGATGATGGATGGGATGAGTGGAAAGATGGATGGATGGATGGAGGGATGAGTGAATGGATGAAAGGATGGATTAATAGATAGATATGCATGAATGGATGAGTGGATGGATGGAGGGATGAGTGGATGGATGGATGAGTGAGTGGAAAGATGGATAGATGGATGATAGATGGATGTCCAGGTACTTCTGTGGGCACTGAGTTTGCAACAACCCCACTAAGAATCAGGGGAAAGTGGGTCAGTTGAAAGAAAAGACAGGAGGAGCCAGCATCATCAGGGGCCTTGTGAGCAGTGAGTTCTCCTTGGTCAGTGACCCTGGCGTTGGTGACAGTCTGGGACAAAACTAGCATGCTGGCCATGCCCTGGTCGCTGTCCCAGCAGCTGGTTCCAGGTGGCTTGGGGTCGCTTGTCTTCTGAAGCAGCTTAGGGATGTGCCTCTTGGAGTCACCACCACATGGGGTGGGAGCTTCCTCTCCCTGTCTCTCAAGCACTGTCCAGCCTTGTTCAGGCAGCTCTGGCCTTGGGGAGGCCCCAAGTGCACCCATGTGCTCTCTCTGGTCATGTAGGGCCCCTCCCTGGGAGCCTGTTGTCAGCCCAGGCAGAAGCCGCATCTTGCTGTTGGGTCGGTACTCCCCACCCCCCCAATGTGGGATGTGCCCTCACTGTCTGCCTGCTGGGCTCAGCAGAGGCCACCCCACCTGTCCTCAGTTAGAGGCCCTCCTGCGAGAGGAGGCAGGCTGCCGCATCTTCCAGGGGTTAGAGCTCAGGCCCCTCCAGGATGTGGGGGTTAGCCTTGGGTGGGTGAGTAGGCAGCCCTCGGGCTGCGGGTCCAAGGCGGGGGCCAGCACTGCGTCTCTCCACAGCTGGGGCTGCCCCAAGCAGAACTACACCTTCAATGACTCGACCTCTGAGATCAACTGGTAAGTCCACACTCCTGCTCCCGAGAGCCAGGCACTCAGAGGCCTGGGACCAGGGTGGGGTGACATCAACAGAGGCTCACATGGCCCAGTCCTGAGGGACAATGCCTGGCCTCAGCCCAGCAGCCACCCAGGTTTCCCAGGATGCCTTTTCCCTTGGCCCTGGCTGTGGTCAACGCTGGGATGTCCCCATGAAGAGGGAAAGTTTGAGAACTGTGAGTTTCCAGCCAGTCCCACAGCCTCTGCACACTCTTCCTGCACCCAGTGAGACGCAGGGAAGCCCGTCTCCCTGTGAGTTGGCGGCTTCTCTTCCAGTTCACCATCTTATGGCCAAGGAAAGCAGCTGCCCCGGGCAGGCAGTGGGAGGTGACTGAGGGGCAGCCTGGGTGCCCAGTGCAGAGTTTAAGACCTGTCCCCAGAACCCAGGCCTCTGTCTGCATCAGGCAAGGGGCAGAGGGCCCCCTGCGGCCAAGCCCCTGCCTGTTTATGGATGAGGGACGGAGGCTCAGGAAAAACCACCTCCCTGCCCTCAGGGACATTCATGAGAGCCTGGCTCCAGGGGCGTAGGTGGTAAAAGCAGGCTGCCTGTTGTGTCCAGAGAGGAGAAGCTTTGCCACCCTCAGCAGTTCCATGAGCTGCAGGCTGAGACTCCCTGGCACTCAGACATGGGCTCTGGCCTCACAAGCACCTCCTGGGGGGCCCGCCCACTGCAGTCCTGCTCCCTCCTCATCTCTTGGGGAAACTTCCCTTCCCTCCTAGTTCTCTGGTCCCCTCCAAGGTCAATGCAGGCTCCTTTGGTCCAGCCTCAATGAGCAGCACAAGCTTGGGGCCAGTGGAGGCCAGTGGTTATGGTCCCAGCCCTGGGTGGCTGGAGTTACTGGTGGCTGCAGTGCTCTACCACGCTGCCTCCTTTCTCTCCCCAGGGCTCCCATTCTGTGGGTGGAGAGAAAGATGACACTGTGGGTGATTCAGGTAAGTTCCCCACCCTGCTCCCCTCCCCACTGCAGTGGTGCTCAGTGAGCACCGAGGACAGACCCAGGCTCAGTAAATCCAGAGGACAAACCCAGGCTTAGTAAACAAGGGACCCAGGCTCTGTGAGCACTGAGGACAGACCCAGGATCAGTAAACAGGGGACTCAGGCTTAGTAAGAAGGAAACCAAGGCTCAGTGAGTACTGGGAACAAAGTCAGGCTCAGTAGGCAGAGGATTTAGGCTCAGCGAGCACTGAGGACAGACCCCAGCTTAGTAAGCAAGGAATCCAGGCTCAGTGAATGCTGAGGACAAGCCCAGACTAGGTAGGAAACCCAGGTTCAGTGAGTGCCAAGGACCAACCCAGGGTCTTCTGCTCTCCACAGTTTTCCCAGGAATCCCTGAGGGCTTCCTGCCCCACCCCCCACCCTGTTTGTTTCACCATCTGAATCTCTCCCTCCCCGGACCCCTCTACGTTCTTTCTGTTTTCCTGGGGTGGGGAATGGGAGTGGATGGCACAGGGGTCAAGGCAGCCTCTGGACATGCATGCTTGGCTTTGTGTGGTACCCGCCTGCTGAGGCCTGTGGGGTGTGGGGTCAGGCCCTGTGTCCAGCCTCGGCCCGGGTCTGCTCCAGGCTCCTTCCCTTTCCCGACTCCCAGGTCATCGTGGCCATAATAAGTTTCCTGGAGACGATGCTTCTCATCTACCTCAGCTACAAAGTGAGTGTCTACCTGGGGTGGCACCTCGAAGGGGGTCCCCACCCCACCCTCCCCCACCTCCCCACCCTCCCCCACCTCCCCACCCTCCCCCACCACCCCACCCTCCCCCACCCTCTCCCATCTCCCCACCCGCTCTCATTTCCTCACACTTCCCAGCCTTATCCCCTGACCTCCAGGGTGGGCTCCTTGCCCTCTCCCCACCAGGCCCTACCCTCACCCCCCCACCCCCCTGATGCCCCATTTGGCCCCCAGGGAAACATCTGGGAGCAGATCTTCCGAGTGTCCTTTGTTCTGGAGATGATCAACACGCTGCCCTTCATCATCACGGTGGGTGAGCCCCGGCCACCAGGAGTGGGGGTCCTGGAGCCCCATCCCTGACCTGTCCCCTTCACAGATCTTCTGGCCGCCGCTGCGGAACCTGTTCATCCCCGTCTTTCTGAACTGCTGGCTGGCCAAGCATGCGCTGGAAAACATGATTGTAAGCTGGGGGGTGCAACTGGGACTTGGGGGGCCACCCTCAGCCTCACTGGCCCTGGAAGACACTGTGAGACATAGCCTGCCATGCCCCGGCCCTGGTGTGACCTATGGAGGACCAGGAGGCCAGGGCAGCAGAAACCGTGCCTATAAAATATCCAAGCCACGCCTCAAATGCCCTCTTTCCAGGAAGAAACTCAATCCCAGAGCTTTTCTGAACCCTGGCAATTAAATGACTGGCAGGAGGAGGGACAACGTGCAGGGTGTGACAAACCCAGGCCATGAGGACCAGGGCCACAAATGCCAGGCCACATGCAAACCAGGACCACAGACAGGTCCTGTGCTGAGCATCTGAGGAAACTGGGGCCACAGGCAGGCCCTGCTCTGAGTGGCTCTGCAAGGCCCCTGTCGTGTGAATAGTAGCAGCCCCTGCCATGGCCAGTTCCTTAGGCAACCCCTCCGCTCCAAGGCAGACCCCTTGGCTCACAGCCCCTATTCCTGCCCCAGTGATAAGGCAGCGTTACCACACTGGGTCCAAGCCTTGCACACTAACCAGCCCTCTGGCCTGAGCCTTAAGCCTCATCCCCAGGGACATAGGCAAGCTAGGGACCCATCCTGAGAGAGTACAGCAGAGGGGTGCTCTGCCCAGGTGGGCCTTATCAGAGATGCAGGTGTGGCTGGGCATAAGCTGCCCCATGGGCCTCAGCGCAGATGCAGATGTGGCTGGACCATCTGTTCTCCCCATCTTACTCTCTATTGCTCACTCTGGAGGGGTGCACAGTCCCTGCTCGCTGACAGCCGCCGCTCCCTCCACAGAACGACTTCCACCGTGCCATCCTGCGGACGCAGTCGGCCATGTTCAACCAGGTCCTCATCCTCTTCTGCACTTTGCTGTGCCTTGTTTTCACGGGGTGAGTGCCAGCTGTCGGTGCAAGTTCCCCAGGACGTTGGGAGGGCCCGAGAGGCAAGCAGAGCCGAGTGAGAGGATGCAGACGCCTGTGTCCAGGCGGTCAGGGGACAGGAAAGGCCACGGTGCCTGGGCTGCTGCTGTCAGCCCACCCAGCTGGGACTGAGGTCGGGAGACAGCTCCAAGCCCACATTCACACTCTGTGAGCAGCCCTGCAGTTTGACTCTTTCAAGGCCAGTGATCCCCAAGTCTGGCTTCCTGGTCTATGCCATTGCCATAGAGAAGGGGACTGGCCCCTAGGCCAGGGGTGTCTCCTGACTGAGGCCCAGCTGAGAGCAGGGTGTGGGGGCACCCAGAGCTGCGAAGGCGTCCACTCGCCTGAGTGTGCTCCTGTGCCCACCCGCCTGTGTCCTGGTCCTAGCCAGGCCTGGTCACCACTTCCCATCCCCAGGCAGGGATGCCAGGCAAGCACAATGCCCTGGGAGCAGGGAGAGTGCCCTGTGTTTCCCACCTCCCCTCCACCACTGCTCCTCATGACAGACACAGAGCTCAGCGGGCAGATTGGGGCATCCATGCAGATGGCATCTGGGACCTGCCAGTGACCCCAGCCCTGCCCATTAGACCTCCCATTGTTGTCTGGCTGTGCCAGGCAGAGGCCTGTATGTGGCAAGTAAGGGGCAAGGCTCTGAGATGGGGCTGGAGGACCCAATCCCATGCCCACCCTTGCCCCACCCAAGCCCACACTGATGGCACAGCCCTGCATCCCTTGCTCCCAGATAATTTTCCAGAGGCCTAGGAGAGAGTGCCGGGCAGGCAGGGAGGCTCTGGGGATTTACTGTGAACAGAGGCTGCCACATTGTGGCCAAGGAGTCAGCCGTATTGTCAGTCAGCGACCAGCCGGAGGTGGCCCAGGCAGAGCCTGGGGACAGATGGGCGGGGCTGAGGGCCTGACAACACCCAGTTGTCAGTAGGGTGGGGCTCACCTGGTGACGAGGCAAAGCTCAGTCTCATGGGCGGCGAGGGTCCCGTGGGCAGGCAGGAGCCCCAAGGGGCCATGGCCCCAGCTCCTGGGCCCCAGGCCGCCCCTCACCATCCGGGGTTGCAGGACCTGCGGCATCCAGCACCTGGAGCGGGCGGGCGAGAACCTGTCCCTCCTGACCTCCTTCTACTTCTGCATCGTCACCTTCTCCACCGTGGGCTACGGTGACGTCACGCCCAAGATCTGGCCATCACAGCTGCTGGTGGTCATCATGATCTGCGTGGCCCTCGTGGTGCTCCCACTGCAGGTGGGTCCCCTGGGCGCCGGCAGGGGCAGGGGGCTGCCAGGGCTGTGGGCACAGGGCAGGGTCACTCCCAGGAGGCCAGGCAGGCGGTGTCTGCTCCGTGGAGGCCTCCACTGAGGGTCTGCAGTGGATCTGGTGGTGCTCAGTGCAGTGGGTAGTGATGGGGTCCCACCAGCCGGCATCTTCCGTCCAGGGAGGTGGCAGAGAGGGACCTCCCAGGCCCCACGCGGAGTGCAGAGAGAGATCAGGGTGGACAGGCAGCCCAATTCCCATCCACAGCCGGGTGCAGCAGCTGCCAGGCCCATAAGGGCACGCCCCCCAGCCACCCCAGCAGCTTCTCTGCCACCACTGCTGAGGCCCACTGCCTGAGCAGAGGAGGGGGCAGGGTGGGGCCGCAGCAGGAAAGTTGGCCTAGAGAGGGCAGCTGCCCTGGGGTGTGAGTGCTCACCCCAGACTGCCTCTGACACCTCCTCCAGGCACCCCAGCCCACCCTGGAGGGTCCCTGCTATCAGGGAGACAGGAGTGGGAGAGGACCTCTGTGGGCACTGGCACGTTCTGCAGGAGCCTAGGTGGGAGAAAAAGGGCGAGGTGGTGGCCAGACCCTCAGGTGGCTGCAGGATGCCAGAGAGACGGGCAGGGAGTGCCTCCACGGAGCCTATGCTTAACCCAGGCTCGGCCCAGCTCTCTCCCTAAACGGCAGAGGGCATGGCGCAGGTGGGGGTCCAGGCCTGGCCTGGCTCTTCCCCTGGCTGCATTCCAGCCACGGCTGTAGCTCCAGCTGGACAGCCCTTGGTGTGGGCCACGTTCTCCCCATCTGCAGGTTTCCGTCCCCCTGACTCCATATGGGGAGATGCACGTCTTTCCGCCTAATTGCCGGCCACCCCACCGCCCGGTGCCACAAGCCTCCCATTTCTGGGAGCTGCCCTCTCCTCTCTGGGCTGCCCCCGGTTCTCACCCATGAACCCAGCCTCTGTTCTAGAAGAATCCCGGCCATGTGCAGTCTTCCCCATTACTTCTTGCTCTCAATTTGCTTACAGAATCTTCCGTTCACGGATAGTTTTGATTTTTTTAATTAGAGCTGGGGGGTGTCTCAGACTCTCTTTGTTGCCCAGGATAGCCTGGAACTCCTGGGCTCAAGCGATCCTCCCGCATCAGCCCCAAAATAGCTGGGATTACAGGCAGCTTGGCTTGGATTTTAACAGTCAGACTCACCAATCTTCTTACACTTTCTGTTTTCCTGTCTTGACTAAAAAGATTATTCCTTCCCTCGATCATAAACCTGGCTTCCTGTTTTCTTCTAAAAGTGTGTAGCCTGCCTCACCTGCAGGGTTTCACCCACCAGGAACCACTGCGTGGGGTGGGGGTAGAGCTGGGCTCTCCCCTCTGACGCCTGCTTCCTGACACCCCGCACCCTGTTCCTTTCCCTGCAGGTCAGGAGTGAGGGTGGGAGCCAGGCCAGGAGCACAGTGTGGTGAGGGCACTGCCTCCCACCTCGGCCCTCCTGCCCCAGTCTGTAAATCTCACCTCAAATTCTTACCATAAGCACCTCTGCAAAGACCCTTTTGCAAATGAGGTCCCATTCTGAGGTCTGGGGGACCACTTTTAGAGCCACCCTTCACACTGCTATGGGCCCCCAGCCTCTGTCCCTGGTCCTCCCCTGCCCACACTTCGCCACGTGGCCAGCACCTGCTGAGGCTGCTGTGCCCGGATGCTCTGCAGAGACCTTGGCCTCTCCAGTCTCTGAATTCCCCACAAGCCCTTCCAGAGACACCTCTGAGAGGCCCCAAGCCCAGCTGAGATCAGAGGATGGGTCAGTAGAGCCGATGCATCCCGCATCCCCCTTTCCCTGCGGGCCCACGGCCCAGCCACACACAGCTCCACCTTCAAGCGCCATCCGGCTCCTCTCCCCACTCCACACATCCCAAAGTGAAGAGGAGCCCCAGCCGACCCCAGGGTCACTTTCAAATAAAGCAGCAGCGAAGCACTCTTGTGCTTCTCAGGAGACCGCGGCGCCCACAGGTAAGGGCCAAATCAGGACGTGCAGCAGGCATGTTCCGTGTTCCTCTGCTGTATCCACAGCCTGTAGGCTGGGGCCGCCTTCCCATTCTGCTCCTGAAGCATCAGGGGCCCCCACCTCCCCTTATCTCCATCAAGAAATAAGACAAGGCCAAGCGTGAGGCTCACACCTGTAACCCCAACACTTTGGAAGGCCAAAGCGGGAGGGTCGCTTGAGCCCAGGAATTTGAGACCAGCCTGGGCAATATAGAGAGACTCCCATATTTACCAAAATATACAAAAACCAGCTGGGTGGGTATAATGGCATGCACCTGTAGTCCCAGCTACTTAGGCAGGAGAATCGCTTGAGCCCTGAGGTCGAGGCTGCAGTGAGCTGTGATCGTGCCACTGCACTCCAGCCTGTGCAACAGAGTGAGACTTTCAAAAGAGAAAAGGGCTGGGCCCAATGGCTCATGCCTGTAATCCGAGCACTTTGGAAGGCTGAGGTGGGTAGATCCCTTGAGATCAGGAGTTCAAGACCAACCTGGGCAACATGGCAAAACCCCGTCTCTATGAAAAATAGGAAAAATTCGCCAGGTGTGATGGTATCCACCTGTGTAGTCCCAGCTCCTGGGGAGGCTGAAGCAGGAGGATCACCTAAGCCTAGGAGGCAGAGGTTACAGCAAGCCGGGATCACTCCAGCCTGGGTGAGAGATGCCACCTCAAAAAAAAAAAAAAAAAAAAGGTGACTCCAGGTGCACAGAGTCCTATAGTCACCAACACACCTGGACTGCTCTTCGGGGAAATTCACTGAACAGACGCACATCATTGCAAGAACAGACTTCATCAACAGGTGTGGCCATGGTGACGGTGACCGACGCCCCAGCAGCCTGCACGTGGAGGTGTCATTGCAGCTCAGGCTGTGTCCACAGTGGGGTCCTCAGATCGGCTGCCGCCTGCCTGCCTTGTCTCCCTCCTCCCACGTGGGGCAGGCAAAGCAGGCCCTGAGTGGGACGAGTCCTAAGCAAGACGTGGGAAGGCGGGGGCTAGGGGCCAGTACACCCTCTGTCCCATCAACCCTGCCAGGCCTGGTGCTCAAACCGGGCCCACAGTGGACCTGTGCCATCCCTGGCAGGGCTGGAGGTGATCGGGACAGTGATGCCACTGACCCCACCATCTGAGGCGCTTCCTGCCTCCCCCAAATGACTCTGGAAAGACAGCTTCTCACTGGCAATGGTAACAGGGGCTGCGTTGCCCTTGCCCTTGGTCTCCACGGAGATGAATTCACCGGTGACCGCCCTTGAGGCAGAGTGACAACCCTGAGGCCCTAGCTCTCAAGTGTCCTTCCTGGAACACAGTGATGCCAGCTGGGGGTCTCCCAGAAGCATCCCTCCAGGCCCTGACCGCCAAAGCAGACAGGTGGCTTAGACAGCAGACATGTATCCTCTGCCAGCCCTGGAGGCCAGAATCAGAATTTCAGGGGCTGGCAGGGCTGGCCCTCTCTGGCTGCTTTGAGGAAGGTCGTCCCACGCCTCTCTCCAGCTTCTCGTGGTGCCACAATCCCTGGAGCTCCATGCGGTAGAAAGCCCAGCCTCCGCCCTGTCTGCACCTGGCCTCTTCTCTATACCTCTGATTGGATGTAGGGCTCACTCTAACCCAGGGGGACCTCATCTTAACTAATTACATCTACAGAGACCTATTTCCAGGTCATCATATGGCAAAGTTCTGGGCAGATGTGACCTTTAGGGGTCACTACAGAGCCGCTGGCATTAGCTCCTTTGTCTTCACGGCAGCCCTAGAGGCAAGTGCCATGCCACCATCTTGCGGGTGAGGAAGCTGAGACTCGTGGGAGGCAGGGGACACGAGCCCTGGGGTGTCTGATGGCAGAGCCCTCTGCCAGCACCATCCACGGGGAGCCTCTGTTCCAGTCGCCCTGGAATCTGGAGCACCTCCCAGCTGTGGACCTGTTCCGTGTGGCAAGGCAGTGGAGTGTCGTCACTGGAAGGAAGCAGGCACTGGATAAGAGCAACGAGATGGTCTCATTTATGTAACTGCTCATCACCATGCTGGTCCACACTGCACAGGAGCTCCCACCATTGCCCATTTCACACGTGGTCAATGGAGCCGGACACCATAACTCATGCCTGGAATCACAGCCCTTCAGGAGGCCAAGGCAGGGGGATCGTTTGGGCCAAGTTCGAGACCAGCCTGGGCAATGTAGTGAGACCCCATCTCTACAAAAAATAAAACTATCTGGGTGTGGTGCTGGCACACATGTAATCCCAGCTACTCAGGAGTCTGAGGCCAGAGGATGGCCCAAGCCCAGGAGGTCAAGGCTGCAGTGAGCTGTGATAGCACCACTGCACTCCAGCCTGGGCAACACAGTGAGACCTTGTCTCACACAGAATAATTCAATAAAATATGTGAAATGAAGGAGTGAACTTGATGCTTAGAAAAGCCAGAGACTTTCAGTCAGGCGCAGAGGCTGACGCCTGGAATCCCAGCGCTTTGGGGAGCCTTGGCAGGTGGATCACCCGAGGTCAGGTGTTCAAGACCAACCTGGCCAACATGGTGAAACCCCAACTCTACTGAAAATACAAAAGTTAGCCAGGTGTGGTGGTGCACACCTGTAATCCCAGCTGTTCGGGAGGCTGAGGTAGGAGAATCGCTTGAACATGGGAGGCGGAAGCTGCAATGAGCCACTGCACTCCAGCCTTGGAGACTGCATCTCAAAACAGAAAAGCCAGAAGCCATCCCCTCCAGGCAAGCCGGGTGGGTGCTGCGAGGCCTGGTGGCCTCTGTTTCGGATCTGTCCCCTTTGAGTCTGCAGATCATGAGCGGGGGCAGACAGAGTCCTCAGACCCACGGCCTCCAACCACTCCCCACCTGGATGTGAGCTCCTGACTGAGGCCAGCGAGTGCCTGGGGGACTGGGGTCTGACTCCTGATTTGGCTGCTCTTACCAACAGGAGCATGATCTCTAATTCCACTGGCTGAGACTCCCCACCCTCAGTTTACTCCAGAATCTCCAGCCGCCCCTCTTCCCTTGGTCCCCACACATCCTGCCAGCTGGGCCTGCGTCCTGCTCTGTGTCATCTGGGGCTGTCAGCACCTGCAGCTTCTGTGTGGGAAAGGCCCCCCTAATGTAGATATCACCCCTGAGCAGGCCCTGCCCTTGGCCCCCAGCAGACAGTTGTGTTGGGGGCCCCAGGTGCTTCCCCAGGAGCCCTCGCTGCCCCTGGCCTGGTCACCGGCACTCACCCAACTCTTGCCCACAGTTTGAGGAGCTCGTCTACCTCTGGATGGAGCGGCAGAAGTCGGGGGGCAACTACAGTCGCCACCGCGCGCAGACAGAGAAGCACGTGGTCCTGTGCGTCAGCTCCCTCAAGATCGATCTCCTCATGGACTTCCTGAACGAGTTCTACGCCCACCCCCGGCTGCAGGTGAGGACCCCTGACCGCAGCCCCCAGAGATGCCATCTTCTTCCCAGGACTGCTTGGCAAGTCCCTAAGTCTTCTCAGCCTCAGTTTACCCCTTCTGTGAGAGTGGCAGCCCACATTTGAGTGAGGAGGGTCCTGTGGGGGCCCCTCCATTCCCTCCCACCAGATGCAAGATCACAGTGAGTGCCAGGGCCCAGAGGTGGTGAGTGAACACAGTCCTGAAGGCAGGGCCGCCCAGGATGGGCAGGGGCTGGCTCAGAGGGTCTGACCCTGCGCCTGGCCGGCAGGACTATTACGTGGTCATCCTGTGCCCCACGGAGATGGACGTTCAGGTGCGCAGAGTCCTGCAGATCCCACTGTGGTCCCAGCGGGTCATCTACCTCCAGGGCTCTGCACTCAAAGACCAGGACCTCATGCGGGCCAAGTGAGTGCTGGGGGGAAGAGGGGATGGCGCAGGGTGCCGGGGGGGGGATGGGAGGCGGAGGGGGGCAGTGCGGGGGGCAGAGGGGGCAGTGCGGGATGAAGAAGGCAGTGTGGGGGTGAAGTGGGTGGCACAGGGGCACCTTCCTGAGACAGGCCGGCTGCTCAGGGCTAGGGCATTGGCTGCCACTCTCATGGCCAAGGGTCCTGAGTTGGCCCAGTGAGCTGATTGTAGCCAGGGGTCCCAAGGGTGGGTGCCAGGGGTTCTTGGCCCAATATGAGTTAACCCAGCTAGGGGTGGACCATCTTAGGTGGACCATTCAGGGTGGACCCTCCAAAGTGGACTATCTCGGCACCTTCCTGAGACAGGTCAGCTGCTCAGAGCTGGGGCATCAACCATCACTCTCATGGCCAGTGAAAGCCATGAGAACAGTGTAGACCATTCCCAGGGTGGATCTTTTGAAGTGAACCATCCAACATGGACTGTCTGGGGTGAACCATCCAGGGTGGATCATCTGGGGGTGAACTGTCTGGGGTGAATTGTCGAGTAGACCCTCTGGGGTGGACAGTCTGGGGTGGACTCTCTGGGGTGGACAGTCTGGTGTAGACAGTCTGGGGTAGACAGTCTGGGGTGGCCAGTCTGGGGTGGACTCTCTAGGGTGGACAGTCTCAGGTGGACTCTCTGGGGTGGACTAGGGTGGACTTTGGGGTGGACAGTCTGGGATGGACAGTCTGGGATGGACAGTCTGGGGTGGACTGTCTGGGGTGGATTGGGGTGGACTTTCTGGGGTGGACAGACTGGAGTGGACTCTGGGGTGGACAGTCTGGGGTGGACTCTCTGGGGTGGACAGTCTGGTGTGGACAGCCTGGGATGGACAGACTGAGGTGGACAGTCTGGGGTGGACTTTCTGGAGTGGGATCTCTGGGGTGGACAGACTGGGGTGGACTCTCTGGGGTGGACAGTCTGGGGTGGACCACCCAGGGCATCTTGCAGCTTCTCTGGCTCAGGTTCCAAGCCCAGATGAGCAGGACCCTGCAGCCAGGCCCCTTGTTCCCACCCCATACCCACTGTGGAGCAGCCCGGGCAAGCCGCCCCAGCTGAGTCTCCGTCTCCCTCTTGCAGGATGAGGGGCAGCCTGTGCAAACTCCACCCTCCTCTGCTCCAAGTCTAGGGAAATTTTTTCTTTTTTTTTTTTTCCTCAACATCTCCTTCTTAAATTTAGGGAAATTTTCTTTGTCAAGTTCTGCAGAGGCTCGAAATAGAGCAGGGGCGGGAGAGTCGGCTGCTGTGAGTCAAGGTGGGAGAATGGGGGCTGCAGAAGGAGCTTCCTTTGAAAGACAGATTGGCAGAGTGACAGGGTAACAAGAGTGTATTGTTACCTGGAACTTTCCAGAATGTGTTGGTGTACTTTCTGGGACACTCCCCGGAAACCCCTCCTGGCATCATTTTCATTCCTGGAGCCTGGATGTGTCCTTAGTGGCCCAGGGTCTCTCTCCATCACTCCCCTCCCCCTGCCGTGTCCAGAGCCCCAAGCTGGGGCCCACTGGCTATAGAATACAGTCTTTTTTGTGATCCTGTCCCCAGTACACAGGTTACTGCACCTGCTTGGGCCCAGGGAGTGGGGAGAGGGCAGGGGCATAGGCCATGACCGCCAGGCAGGGATCAGCCCAGGACTGTGGGTATGGGGCCTGGGCCCCTGCAGAGCAGGCAGTGATGCTAGTGATGAGGTGGGACTCCCTCTCCTGAGAGGAGGCGACTGTTTCTCAGATGGCATCTCAGCAGTACTGGCCAGTTTCTGCAGCTGGGCTTTGGGGAGACCATGGAGGGACTGGAAGTGACCACCCAGGTTTCCCGACCATAGAGTGGCCAGGACTGGGAGTGAACGGGGTCTCTGCCCCTAAGTTCCTCCCTCCCTCCTGTACCCCAGCCCAGCCCTGGGTGAATAGCTAATGACAACATGTAAGTTGGGCACCCAAGAAGCCAGTGCCCAGGTCAGGTCAGCTGCCCTGGTGCCAATGTAACTGGCACACACTGGGGTCTCCACCAGGCCTTCTCCTGCCAACCCTGGACCCCCAGCCCCTGATAGCTGGGAGGGTGGACAAATCCAGGCAGCCCCTGCCAGCAGAGCCCCCTCCCAGACCTCCCAATACCCCTCCTACCTGGGCCACCTCAGGGACAAGCTGGGGATTAGCTTCAGAGAACACGGCTCGGGGGAGGAAGAGCAGGCACTGCATTAGGAAGCACCATGGGCTTCCCACTCAGGGCTGTGGCTGGGCTGGGAGAAGCTGTCAGCCAGTGTCTCCAGAACATACTGCCTGTGGCATCTACCCCCCAACCCCCACCTGCTATCAGCCTGCACAGGCTCAGGGGACAGACCCGGGTCCTGTGCCTTCTCAAGTGTCAGAGCTTGGAGTCTCCCTAGGGTGTCCAGGAGTCCTGACCCAGCTCAGAGCCTGTCAGGGAGGGGCCAGGGAGTCTAGAGAGGCCCAGGATGCCTGTGGGGGGGCACTGGGATACCTGAGCGAGGGTACAGGGATGCCTGCTGGTGGAGGGTGCACAAAGATGCCCACCAGGGGGCGCTGTGATACGGGTAGGTGGGGAGGTTACTGGGATATCCACTGAGGGGGCACACTGTGATGCCTGACCAGCAGGGAGCAGGAGCCTCCTGCCCACCCGCTGTCCTCCCCACCTGCCATCCTCCCCACCCGCCGTCCTCCCTGCCTGCCGTCCCCCCTGCCTGCCATCCTCTCCGCCTGCCATCCTCCCATCCTCCCAAAATCTTCCTGCGCACCTGCTGCACCGACCTCCTCCCAGGGGAGGCCCTCCCCTCCCCACCTCACCTCCACTCCCCCGCCCTCCCCCCAGCTGTGCTGCCCGCCTCCCCTGCTCCACCCTTGCTCAGGCCCTGGTGCATTGCAGGATGGACAATGGGGAGGCCTGCTTCATTCTCAGCAGCAGGAACGAGGTGGACCGCACAGCAGCAGTGAGTGAGGCTGAGGCCCCACCCGGGCGGGAAGGGCACCGTGGTGTGGGGAATCGGTGCCACCCAGCAACCCACAGAGGCCAGCCCTCCTGAACTGACCAACACCCACCCCACCAGGACCACCAGACCATCCTTCGTGCCTGGGCCGTGAAGGACTTCGCCCCCAACTGCCCCCTCTACGTCCAGATCCTCAAGCCTGAAAACAAGTTTCACGTCAAGTTCGCCGGTGCGTCTGGGGCAGGGCATGTGTGCACGCACTTGGGCAAGCTGTGTGGGGGGTGGGAGGTGCTGGCCTGGAGCCCCTCAAACAAGCACACCAGGAGGTGCTGGAGGGGATGGTGGACCCCTATCCTCACCAAATCCGAGAAGGGGGCTATGAGGTCTGAGCTCTTCATATAAACAGTCTTCTGCTGGGGCCCTGGGGTCAGTGAAGGCAGCATCAGAGTCAGGTGGGGACAGGAGCACCATCTGACGAGCACCTCTACGGGCAGGGCCCACACTGGGCACCCCAGGGACAAGGGGCAGGGCCCACTCGGGGTGCCTGAGGGAAAGTGGGCATGGCCCACACGGGGTGCCCAAGGGACAGGGACAGGGTCCACATGGCGTGCCCGGGACCCACCCAGCCCTGGAGGTCCTAGTTGAGCTGGAGAGAAGCATGGGAATGGTGGAAGGTCCACAGAGGCTCAGGACAAGTAACATATTGGTGTCCAGAGACTCGAGGTGGAGATGCTGGAGCTGGACAGCAGACACGTGGGGGCTCCAGGGGGGCACCAGGTGATGGTGCCTCTACACAGCCCCTTCAGGAAGCGGGCAGGTGCTGTGGGGAGGAGAGAGGCAGCAGGCTGACAAGTGAACCTAGCCTCCCCTCCTGCCCGCAGACCATGTGGTGTGTGAGGAGGAGTGCAAGTATGCCATGCTGGCGCTCAACTGCATCTGCCCGGCCACCTCCACCCTCATCACCCTGCTGGTGCACACGTCCCGCGGCCAGTGAGTGCCCCGTAACCCGCGGGACCGACCTCCATGGCCCCATCAGCTCAGGGAGACAAGGCAGGGCCTGCGTGGGGGCAGGGACGGGCTTCCCGGAGGAGGGGCTCGTGGTGGGGCACGTGGGGGGCAAAAGTCCCGCACAGGGAGGGGTCCAGCCAGGGGAAGCAGAGGGTCCGCCGGAGATCCAGCCGGGCAGGAGGGGCAGCCACGGCCGAGGGTGACAGTCCCCTGGCCCCGCTCCGGCCCACAGGGAGGGACAGGAGTCCCCGGAGCAGTGGCAGCGCATGTACGGGCGCTGCTCCGGCAACGAGGTGTACCACATCCGCATGGGCGACAGCAAGTTCTTCCGCGAGTACGAGGGCAAGAGCTTCACCTACGCGGCCTTCCACGCCCACAAGAAGTAAGGCCAGGCTGCGCCCCTAGGGCTGGCGCTCACCCGCCCAGTCAGGCAGGGGTGGCCCTGGGGCGGGGCAGCCAGTCATCCTGCCTGGCGAGGGCGGCCGCAGGGCTGGGCTCCGGGTCCACATGAAAACCTGCCACACACTCCTCCCCGAGGCTCCTTCCAGGCTCGTGGGCTGCTCCCAGCTCCCTGGTCCCCAACACTCCTGGGACAGGAGGGCTCGGCCAAGGGCCCTGTCCTCAGATGGCCCCCGGGAGGAAGACGGAGGAGCTCCGAGGGGGACTCTGGTGCTTCGCAGGCAGGGGGCGGGACAGGGCGGGCGGTGGCGGCGGTGCCTGCAGCTGTGGTGCCCCCGCCCAGGTACGGTGTGTGCCTCATCGGGCTGAAGCGGGAGGACAACAAGAGCATCCTGTTGAACCCGGGGCCGCGGCACATCCTGGCCGCCTCCGACACCTGCTTCTACATCAACATCACCAAGGAGGAGAACTCGGCCTTCATCTTCAAGCAGGAGGAGAAGCGGAAGAAGAGGGCGTTCTCGGGGCAGGGGCTGCACGAGGGTCCGGCCCGCCTGCCCGTGCACAGCATCATCGCCTCCATGGGTGAGCCAGGGCCGGTGCGCGGGGCTCCCTGGGCCTGCTCCTCCAGGGCCTGGCTGCTTCTGCGCCAGGTAGGGCGGGGTGGGGCGGGGCAGGAGACCAGGTGAAGTGGGCAGGATACCAGGAGGGGCGGGGCCATAGACCAGGTGGGGCGTGGACGGAGACCAGCTGGGGCGGGGCCAGAGACCAAACAGGCCCAGGGTGGAAGACTAGGCAGGGCGGGGCAGGAGACCAGGAGGGGCGGGGCCAGAGACCAGGTGGGGCGGGGCTAGAGACCAGGTGGGGCGGGGCTGGAGACCAGGTAGGGCGGGGCTGGAGACCAGGTGAAGTGGGGCAGAAGGCCAGGCGGGGCGGGGTCGGAGACCAGGTGGGGCGGGGGGGGCGGGGCCAAAGACCAGGCGAGGCGGGGCGGAGCCAGAGACCAGGCAGGGCCAGGGTGGGAGACCAGGAGGAGCAGGGTGGGAGACCAGGTGGGGTGGGTTGTGGTAGGAGACCAGGTGGAGTATGGCAGGACAGGGCGGGGCTGGAGACCAGAGCTAGCTCCTCTTGGTCTGTGCCTCCACCCTTGGACAAGTGGAGTCTCTCTGGGCCTGTTTTGAATCTGTCAAACAGGAGTTGTCCCAGACTTCCTGTGGCCACCTTTGCGGGCATCGCTCACTGTGTCCAAGTGGGACCGCCCACAGGACCAGTTGTCAGCTCAGCCAGAGGCCCCAGAGGGTCCCATCAGCCCAGAGGGTCTGCTTCATGTATGCCCCTCAAATAGCCTGGGGCCCTGGCATCCCAGGGCTGGGAGTTGGCTGGATGAGGCTGCTGAGGGCTTTGGTCTCTTCTCACGCCTCCAGGCTCTTCCCGGGGTGCTGTGTGCCAGGCGGGGTCAGGCTGGGTCAGGCTGCCTTTGAGCACGTGCAGGCTCGTGGCCCCGAGGGTTCCACCCATAGTGGCATTGTCCCCTCCCCAGCCAGGCCTTCCTGGGGGACAGTTAGGGAGCAAGTCAGGCCAGGAAGCCACTCAGGCTACAGACCCACAGGCCGAGTCAAGGCATTGCCACCTCTGTACAGTGGCCCAGGCAGAGGTTGACCCTATCTTCACCTGCACAGTGGGCCCTCTTCCCCTAGGTGGCTTCCAGGAAACCAGGGTACCTCGGACAACCCTCGCTACACCCACAGAGGCCCTGGGCCACACCTCAAGGTCCACAGCCCCTAACTGGCAGCCTGGGGATGGTGCAGGAGTGACTGAATCTGCTCTCACAGGCCAGGCTGCCCCACCTGGCCCTGTCCACCAGGCAGACTGACCAGCGGCACGGACCCCCAAGGCTGAGACCCCTGAGCCCAGGATCGGCCAACCCCCTCCTCAGGCAGTTGGTACTAAGGCCACTGCAGCTGTCCTGGGTGGCGCTGATATGACACCGGGGCCCCATGGGTGTTTGCTCAACATCATCACCACCCTAGAGGCTGCTGACCCCGTTGTATGGAGGAGGAAACTGAGGCACAGTGAGATTGAAGCTCCCCAGCTGAAGCACAGGAGCCAGGCCATGACGGGGTCTCTAGAGCTGACTGTTTGCCTGAGTTCTGGGAACTCACTAGCCCTGGAGGGTGGGAGTCAGGCTACGGCTGAGCACGGAGCTGTCTTCCAGGGACGGTGGCCATGGACCTGCAGGGCACAGAGCACCGGCCCACGCAGAGTGTCGGGGGTGGCGGGGGCAGCAAGCTGGCACTGCCCACGGAGAACGGCTCAGGCAGCCGGCGACCCAGCATCGCACCCGTCCTGGAGCTGGCTGACAGCTCGGCCCTGCTGCCCTGCGACCTGCTGAGTGACCAGTCAGAGGACGAGGTGACACCCTCAGACGACGAGGGGCTCTCCGTGGTGGAGTGAGTTCGGCCTTGCAGACAGCTCCATGGAGGATGGGAGGGGGGAAGGGGTGTCGGGTGGTGGCCCATGCACTGAGCTGCAACTTCTGGACAGCTCCATGGAGTCTTCAGGGGACCCGACGCAGACATCAGAGCCACAGCACTGTGGTCCCCGGGAGCACCTTGTGTGTCACTGGGATGGGGTGTGCTGAACTGTACCCTTCTCGGTTGGGGCTGGGGGTGCAGAGCTGATTGGGGTGAGGCAGCTCACTGAGGCGACGGCTGCATGTCAGGCACCTGGTAGGGCCATCCGTGGAGAGAGCCCCTTCCCACCCACCTTGCCAGCCCCACAGCAGCTCAGCCACTCTGAATCAGACCCCAGCCATCCTCGTCCACCCCAGGCCCTGGGTCTCCCCCTCAGTGCCACAGAGCACAGAGGGTCACAGCCCTCCTGGCCAGGGGTGGGTGTCCTCTGAGCAGGGTCCCTGGGCAACCCCTGGGCAAGGCAGCGTCTCAGCCTGGAAACCAGAGCCCATCCTGAGCTGTTATTCAGGCCTGGGCTTGGGGCCAAGTCCTCTTGCTTCACATGATGAGACCGGCATGATGAGAAGTTGTTCTCAGCAACTTCTGCCTCTTGGCCTCAGGCTGGACAGACAAGTGCCTTTCAGGGCCTGAGGGCCCACCATCCTCTGGCTGCCTGACTCTGCCTGGCCTTTGCCTCTGGAGTGGGGTCTATTCGCTGTAATGACAGCCCAGCTGCTGGGAAACCACACTGAGCCGTTGCATGTGTGTGTGTTGGGTGCTGCTGGGAAGGGATGGTGATCTACTGGGGACAGCAGCCTGGCTGGAAAAGCAGGGTAACAGCCCAAGGCCAGAGTGCCTGCCCCACTGGCCTGGGGTGCTGGGGCCCTCAGGGAGGCATGATGGGTGGGCAGAGCCCTGTGGGTTTCACCTGTGGCTGCAAGGCCTTGTCCAAGCTGGTGTAGGGGGTAGAAAGACCATGTAGGGCATGGGGGTGGGTGTGCAAGGGGGGTGTGTTCTGTGCGTGTCCATGTGTATGTGATGTACATTGTGTTCTTGTGTGATATATGTTGTGTGTCCGTGTGTGTGTGTGTGATGTGCATTGAGTCCATGTGTGTGCTGTCTGGGTGTGTGGTTTGTGGTATGTCACATGTAATGTGTGTGTGTGTTGGGTCTGTATGGTGTGTGGTGTGTCTTGTGTGTGGTGTGTGTTTGGATGTGTGTGGTGTGTTTGTGGTGTGCTGTGTCCTGTGGTGTGTGTGTGTGGTTTGTGTTGTCTGTGCATGTGGTATGTGTTGTGTGTCTGTGTGTTGGGTCTGTATGGTGTGTGGTGTGTCTTGCATGTGGTGTGTGTTTGGATGTGTGTGGTGTGTTTGTGGTGTGCTGTGTTGTGTGGTGTGTGTATGTGTGGTTTGTATTGTCTGCGTGTGTGGTATGTGTTGTGTGTCCGTGTGTTGTGTGTCTGGGTGTGTGGTTTGTGGTGTGTCACGTGTGGTGTGTGTGTGTTGGGTCTGTATGGTGTGTGGTATGTCTTGTGTATGGTGTGTGTTTGGATGTGTGTGGTGTGTTTGTGGTGTGCTGTGTCCTGTGGTGTGTGTGTGTGGTTTGTGCTGTCTGTGCATGTGGTATGTGTTGTGTGTCTGTGTGTTGGGTCGGTGTGGTATGTGGTGTGTCTTGCATGTGGTGTGTGTTTGGATGTGTGTGGTGTGTTTGTAGTGTGCTGTGTCATGTGGCGTGTGTGTATGTGGTGTGTGTTGTCTGTGTATGTGGTATGTGTTGTGTGTCTGTGTGTTGTGTCTGTATGGTGTGTGGTATGTCTTGTGTGTGGTGTGTGTTTGGATGTGTGTGGTGTGTTTGTGGTATGCTGTGTCGTGTGGTGTGTGTCGGGTGTGGTATGCATTGTCTGTGTGTAGTGTATATGTCGTGTGTGTTGTGCACGTGTGAATATGTCTGCATGTGTGCATTTCAGTGTGCCTGTAGGTGTTGTCTGTGCATGCGTCTCCATGTGTGTACATGTGTGAATATCTCCACTGTGTGTGTCAGGTGGAGTCTCACCCCAGACCCTCAGGGAAGGATAGGCCCAGGGCACAGCCCACCTCCTGCCCCGCCCCACCTCTGCCCCACCCCACCTCTGCCCCTCCCCACCTCTGCCCCGCCCCACCTCTGCCCCACCCCAAAGTAGCCAAGGGCTAACCATTGGGGGGGTCCTGGACTGACCAGATGAGGGGTGAGCCCTGTGGCCAGCCCCTCCCATAGCTGGGTGAGGGCAGCAGCAGTGAGGGCCCTTCTCACCCCACTGTCTCCTCCAGTCCTCTAAGGCCCTGGTAGGGCCAAGTCATAGCTTCCCCAACCCTGGCCTTGCAGCCACTGCTGACCCATCAGGCAGGCCTGGGTCCTTAAAACTTGGCACCTGCATGGGTGCCCTGGGCACTGCCCTGTGGGACACACTGTATCCTGGGTGCCAAGGCTGGACAGGCCCCACAACACGGTGGCCACAGGCTCAGCTGGAGGAACGTTTCCTGATGCCCAGGTGGTTGAGGACAGACCAGGCCACCGTGCCCCTGAGCAGTGTGGCTGTGGGTTGAGTGGGTGCCTTTGAATCCCCCAGCTCAAGGGGGGCCCCAGAGCTGACCCAGCCACCTCCGCACAGTTGTGCTGAGGGCTCCTGTCTCCTCCCCAGGTATGTGAAGGGTTACCCTCCCAACTCACCCTACATTGGCAGCTCCCCAACCCTGTGCCACCTCCTGCCTGTGAAAGCCCCCTTCTGCTGTCTGCGGCTGGACAAGGTAAGGCTGGCTGCTCTGCCGCACTCTGCAGCCCCAGACGCCAGCACCAGGCTGTGCACACCTGCCCTGATTTCTCTTTGGTCGTTTTACATTTCAATATTGTTGCAAACTTCTAGCAAAGCTGAACGAATACTACAAGGGAACTGTGCAGACCCTTCCCTGAGTCAGCAGACGGTCTCTTCCTGTCCCTTTTGCACTCTCCCAGCTGCTATGTTAGGGGCATCTGTCTTCTTAACTTTTTGGTTGTTATTGTTACTATTATTTGAGATGGGTTTCACTCCCGTTGTGCAGGCTGGAGTGCAGTGGCACAATCTCGGCTCACCAAAACCTTCACCTCCCGGGTTCAAAAAATTCTGCCTCAGCCTCCCGAGTAGCTGGGACTACAGGCACGCACCACCATGCCCAGCTAATTTTTGTATTTTTAAGAGATGGGGTTTCATCACATTGGCCAGGCTTGTCTCAATCTCTTGACCTCGAGATCCGCCCGCCTCAGCCTCCCAAAGTGCTGTGATTACAGGCGTGAGCCACTGTGCCCAGCCACATCTGGCTAATTTTTGTATTTTTAGTAAAGACAGGGTTTCACCATGTTGGCCAGGCTGGTCTTGAACTCCTGACTTCAGGTCCTCCACCTGCCTCAGCCTCCCATTCCTGACCTCAGGTGATTCACTTGCCTCAGCCTCCCACAGTGCTAGGATTACAGGTGTGAGCTCCCATGCCCGGCCTTCTGAACCATTTTGAGAATAGGTTGGAGCCACCGCTCCCCTTTCCCCTAATACATCCATATGCGTTTCTGAAGATCAAGGACCATCCTGTAACCACAGTTCAGTCCTCAGGACAGGGGGCCCAGGCCAGCATCAGTGTCTGATCCACAGTCCAAGTTCCGATTGTGCCAAGAGCCCCAACGGCCTTCCTTGTCCTTCGTGGTAGCGTTATCTCTGCTGGGAGCCTGGCCCGCTGTGTTTTATCGTTCCTTTCTCATTGCTCTCCCTCAATCTGGAATGTTCCCTGCAGAGGATGGACCACTGACCTGGTGGTGGGTGGGTTTGCCGACATTTCCTGGTGGTGGGACGCTGCCTGCATGTGGGGCCGGCCCTCCCTGGAAGCTCGGGGGGTCAATTGTCAGGTCACTGGTGATGTTAACTTGGATCTCATGGGAAGGCGGGGTTTCCCCACTGTGAAAGTTACTGTTTTCTTCTGGAGTTAGCAGCTCCTCTGGGGGGACATGTTGAGATCAGGAAAACAAACCACTGGGCATGAGGCTTCAGCATCAGTCACTGGGCTTTTTTAGTATTTGTTGTTGTAGTTTTTGAGATGGGGTCTCACTCTGTCATCCAGGCCAGATTGCAGTGGTGGGATCACAGCTCACTACAACCTTCACCTCCCAGGCTCAGGGGGGTCCTCCCACCTCAGCCTCCCAGGTGGCTGGGACCACAGGCACACACCACCACACCTGGCTAATTTATTTATTTTTATTTTAGTAGAGATGGGGTCTCCCTATGTGGTCTGGGCTGGTCTCAAACTCCTGGACTCAAGTGATCCTCCCACCTCGGCCTCCCAAAGTGCTGGGGTTACAGGCGTGAGCCACCATGCCAGCCATCATTGATGGTTTCCAGTTCCAGAATCTCTCTCCAGCTGTGAATTAGTACTCGGCCATGAAGGGGTCCCCCCACCCCATGTGTGTGTCTTTTACAGCCTGTGGGCTCCGGCTGACTCTGTGGGTGGTAATCTGTCACTGACCCTTGCAATGGCATCATCCCTGACAGGTCATTATTGATTCTGATGCTCGGACCCCCGGGTTCACTGAGCAGGGTGGGGGCCTTTGAGTGGTTTCTGGGTGCTTCTGACGTAACCCCCTCACCCTCTGAGCTTGTCTGTGTTTCCAACCTGAGATGTTCCAGCCTCCTTCTGGCCTTCCCCTGCTCCAGTTCTGGAATCAAACGTTTCTCCAAGGAACGCTGATTCCTTTTAGAGGAAAATGATGATTAGAAACCAAAATCTGGGCACGTGGTGTGCTCGCTGCTGCTGGGGCATCCCTGCTCTGAGCCCTTAGTGAACAAAACAAGAAAACGTGCACATGTACACACATGACGTGTATCTATGCTCACGCCTAGCCCTCTAGCTACATGCCGAAACCACACGTTCACATGGACCCCGCTCTTTCCACCCCGATATGACTGCTCTGTGCCACCTGTGGGCACAGCTGTGCTGTCTGGCAGTGCCTGCAACTCCCACCAGGCGCATATAGGCCATGAAAGGGTTGTGGGCTGAGAGGCTGATGTTTGGGTGTTTGCGGGGATTGTTTGGTGAGGGGTCTGGGAGGGCCCCAGTGGCCACAGCAGGAGCCAGCCCGGACTCCAGCATCTGCCCCCAGGGCTGCAAGCACAACAGCTATGAAGATGCCAAGGCCTACGGGTTCAAGAACAAGCTGATAATTGTGTCAGCAGAGACGGCCGGCAATGGGCTGTACAACTTCATTGTGCCGCTGCGGGCCTACTACAGGTCCCGCAAGGAGCTGAACCCCATCGTCCTGCTGCTGGACAACAAGTGAGACTCCTGGGGCTCAGCCCACCCTGCCCACCCGGGCCCTCAGACCTGCAGCCAGCAGCTTCCCCCACCAGGCCCACCCTCACCTTCACAGAGGGAATGGGAACATGGGGACTCTGGCCTGGTCCTCTCAGCTTTCCTACTACTAAAAAGTGGGGCTCTCCTCCCTGCTCCCCGCTCCTCCTGCTCCCAGCTCCTCCCATTCATAGCTCTTCCCCACTCCCACTTCTCTGGTTCTCAGCTCCTCCCTACTCCCAGCTCCTCCCCACTCCCACTTCTCTAGCTCTCAGCTCCTCTGGCTTTCAGCTCCTCCCCACTCCGACCTCCTCTGGCTCTTGGCTCTTTCCCACTCCCAGCCCCTCTGGCTCTCAGCTCCTCCCTGTCCCAGCTCCTCTGACTCTCAGCTCCTCCCCACTCTCAGCTCCTCTGGCTCTCAGCTCCCTGGCTCTCAGCTCCTCCCTGTCTCAGCTCCTCTGACTCTCAGCTCCTCCCCACTCGCACCTTGTCTGGCTTTCAGCTCCTCCCCACTCCCACTTCTCTGGCTCTCAACTCCTCTGGCTCTCAGCTCCTCCCCACTCCCTGCTCCTTCTCACTCCCAGCCCCTCCAGCTCTCAGCTCCTCCCCACTCCCAGTTCCTCCTCTTTCCTAGTTCCTCTGTCTCCCAGTTCCTCCCCACTCCCAGCTCCTCCCCACTCCCAACTCCTCCCCATTCTCAGCTCCTCCCTGCTTCTAGCTCCTCCTGCTCCCAGTTCTTCCCTGCTCCCAGCTCCCCTGGCTCACAGCTCCTCCCCGCTCCCAGCTCCTCCAACCCTCAGCTCCTCCCTGCTGTCAGCTCCTGTGGCTCCCAGCCCCTCCTGCTCTGGTCCTCTCTCCCCCTTTCCCCCTCCTCCCTTGTCACTCCTTCTGTCCTGTTTGCCTCCTGCACCACTCACTCTGAGCCCCAGGGATGGGGGGACACATGGCTCTTCCTCCCAGGCACCTTTTTGCCCAGGGGACCCTGGGGCCCTGACACCTGAGCCGTGTGACCTCAGCAGGTCCACCCTCCCAGGCCTTGGTTTCCCCTTGAACGAAATAAAGAATGGCCCATTGGCCTTAGCACCTCCCAAGTCCCATACCGTGGTTCTGAGGGCCCTCTGCCTGGTCTAGCTCTGTGCATGGAGGGTAGGGCCCCAAGGGGCCTTGGGAAGGTAGGCCTTGGAGCAGGATGGGCCCCTCCAGAACCGTTGTCCCCACAGGCCCGACCACCACTTCCTGGAAGCCATCTGCTGTTTCCCCATGGTCTACTACATGGAGGGCTCCGTGGACAAGTAAGGCGTGGTCAGCTGTGGCTCAGGAGGGCCCCACACCCACCCTCCCCTCCTCTTCCAACGTCTGGGGTGGCACCCGACCACAGGTGGGGGTGGGGGACTGAGGTCCTCCTGCCTCCCTGAACAAATCCCGGGGGCCTATGGGTGGGGAGTGGGCCATATCCTTAGACACGGGGATCCCGTCCCGCCACCAGCCTGGACAGCCTGCTGCAGTGCGGCATCATCTACGCTGACAACCTGGTGGTGGTGGATAAGGAGAGCACCATGAGCGCCGAGGAGGACTACATGGCGGACGCCAAGACCATCGTCAACGTGCAGACCATGTTCCGGTGCGTCTGGCCACAGGGCTCCAAACCACCCCACAGCCACCACCATGGCCCCGCCCTGACACCCCCACAGCCCCGACCACGGCCCCCACTCTGACACCCCCACCGCCACGACCACAACCCCTTCCCTGACACCCCCACAGCCACGACCACGACCCCCGCCCTGACACCCCCACAGCCATGACCACGACCCCCACCCTGACACCCCCACAGCCACGACCATGACCCCCGCCCTGACACACCCACAGCCACCACCACAGCCCCCACCCTAAGACCCCCTACGGATATGGGTCCCCACCCTGAGACCCTCACAGCCACAGTCATGGGTCCCACCCTGAGACCCCCACAGCCATGACCATAGGCCCCCGTCCTGAGACCCCTCCAGCCATGATCGTGGCCCTGTCCTGAGCTTCCTGCCTTCCCCAGGCTCTTTCCCAGCCTCAGCATCACCACGGAACTCACCCACCCTTCCAACATGCGCTTCATGCAGTTCCGTGCCAAGGACAGCTACTCTCTGGCTCTTTCCAAACTAGAAAAGGTGAGCAGCCCTGCCCTGTGCCAGCTGCCACCCCAGGAGCCCAGAACAAGTGGGAGAGAAGGGGCTTGGGGCAAGGGGGCTGGGGCCTCTGGAGGCTGGGCTCCTGCCCCCTCCTGCTGGGGAGCTCAGGAGAGGAGGTGGGGGCCCTGCATGGACAGGACCCTCTTGATGGTGGAGCCGGGAGATGGGCAGGGTGCTTCCCTGACCGTGTGGAGCGCTGGGAATGTGGCCTGTAGCAGCCCTCCATCTCCCTGATCAGGGACCAGGCCTGGCCGTGTCTAGAGGCCAAGGCCATCTGTCCTGGGATGGTGAGTTGGTCAGAACCCCTGTGGGGAGCCCTCACATCCGTGGTTGTAGAGGTTGGCCAGCAGCTCTGAGTACAAATAACACACATGGCTGTGCTGCTCCAGCCTCCTCCACTGCCCTGGTCACTGCCCGACCTCGAAACGGGTTCATTGTAAGCACTGCCTCCTGGTACTGACAAGGGACCAGGGGCCTGCCCTGGGTAGCAAGGGGAGAAAGTGACAGCTGGAATCGGCTTTCTGCCCCTGCGGCTCCATGAAGGGCACCAACCAGGCTTGGCTGTGGAAGCCGGGGGCACAGGCGCCCAGGGCTGCAGAGGGCATGGCCACTGTTGCCGCTGCCTTGATGTTTGGCTGACACCAGCCCACATCGATCCCACCTGTTCAGGCCAGGGCAGCACCACCTTGTCCACATGGGGGCCGATGCCCGGGCTGCCCTAGGCTGAGAGCAGGGAGGGGCACGCCATGTCGGGGAGAATTGGGCCACCTTGGTCAGGAGCAGCAAACCCCAAGCTTACCAGTCTGGGCTGAAGTCCTCTCCGGCAGGCTGCTGGGGCCTGCGTGGCTGACGGAGCATGACACTGTGGAGGCCCCATGGAGCCAGGCCAGGCCTGACCACCGACACCAGCAGAGGACACACACTGGCACTCCCTGTGACACGGACACAGCTTTGTCCCATCTAAACTTGATGGAGAGTGAAAGTGGGTTCCAGCCAGCCGTGGACTGAGAGCCTATGGGGACCCTGGAGTCAGTTCTGCCTGCCCCAGAGAGGTGGGAGGAGGTCAGCCCGGACGGGTCCCCAGGCCCACAGACGCTCCTGCCTCCGAGATGCCAGCCTGAGGCGTAGGGGTACAGCTGGTCTCGCCACAGGAGAGGGTTCTGTCTGCATTGCCTGCTGCCCAAGCCCACCCTGCCCAGCATTGGGAGCACCTAGCCCTGGTCCCCAGCACAGCTGGCAGAGGGGTACTCTCCGCATCTCAAACCATGGGAAGGAGGAAGTTTGCCTTTGCGGTCCCAGCATGCTGGGATTCTGTGTTCAGGTGCCATGCCACTCCCCAGTGCTGGAAGGACTCTCTAGATCTGGAAGACCGAGTCTGCCCCAGTGTGGGGTTGAGGCAGCCAGCCTGATGTGCCTCCTTCAGCCTCAGCCTCACACCTCTCTCTCCCATGAGGCAGCTTGAATGTTGGGTCAGCAAGCACTCTCCTGCCCCCTTCCCACCAGGCAGACATCACCAATCACCCACCCTCCACCCCAGCGTGGGACTCCAGCTCCTTCCCCAGCTTCGCCTCCACCAGGGCCCAATGCTGCCAGGGTGGGGGCAGCCAGCTCTCCATCTCAGGGCACTGAACAGTCCTGGGCCCCGGTCATGCAATTCTGTGGCGATTGTGTGACAGGGACCACCAGGGAGAGGTCAGGATGTCAGCAAAGCCCCCAGAGCAGCCATGGTCTACTCTGGACTGACGTGGTGCTGGGGTCCTTATGGGATAGACGCCCTGGGCAGGGCCAGGCATGTACGGAGACCTGGGGCCAAGGGAGGAGAGGACACCGTGGGCCACCTGACCCCTCACCCTCTGGAGATGCTGGGATCCACCTCCCTGGCACGCAAGGAGCCTGTAGAGGGCACCAGGGGCCATGTCTTCCCCAGCCTGGGTGGCCTTGGCCCCAGCTCCCCCGTGGGACTCCCTCCTGTGGGACTCCCTCCCGTGTGTCTCTGACAGGCCAGTACACAGTGACCTGCTTCCAACGGGGGCACCTGTGGCAGCTCTAGACTTTTTTTTTTTTTTTTTTTTGAGATGGAGTCTCACTCTGTCACCAGGCTGGAGTACAGGGTGCAATCTCGGCTCACTGCAACCTCCGCCTCCCAGGTTCAAGAGAGTCTCCTGCCTCAGCCTCCCAAGTAGCTGTGATTACAGGTGTGCACCACCACACTCAGCTAATTTTTGTATTTTTAGCAGAGACAGGGTTTCACCATCTTGGCCAGGCTGGTCTCAAACTCCTGACCTCAGATGATTCACCCACCTCAGCCTCCCAAAGCGCTAGGATTACAGGTGTGAGCCACCATGCCCAGCTGAAGAATGGCCCGAGAGATGGCCATGGCTGAGTCCAGAGCCTGAGGATGTACCACCTCAAGTGGCAAAAGGGACTCTGCATATGGGATTAAGTCAAGGGCCTCAAGATGGGAGGTCCCCCGGGAGCATCGGCAGGTTCACGCTGTCAGGGCCCTTCTAGGGAGAGGCTGGAGGGTCCTGGTCCCATGGGGAGAAGCTTCGCAGCCAGCTCAGAAGTGGGAGGAGGAGACACGAGCCAAGGAGCCTCCAGGAGCTGGAAAAGGCACGAGAAGGAGCCCTGCCCAGGCCTGAATCCGGCCGAAGACTCACTCTAAACTTCCAACTCCAGAACCAGGAGGGAGGAGTTGGGTGTTGATTTAGCTGCTAAGTTTGCGGTCATTTGTTACGGGAGCCCCAGGAAACTCATACAGTGGGGTCCATTGTGAGCCTGGTGCACGGACCGGGAGGCCAAGGACAGCAGGCAGCCCAATGCTCCTCCTCCTCAGCCCAGGCTATGCCCCCTTGGACACCACTTAGCAAACACCAGGGCAGGAGAGGATTGGCAGGAGGATTCAGAATTTCTGGATGGCAAGAGCAGGGTGCTCAACCAAGCGCAACGCCTGTGGCGTCCGCCGGGAATCCACCTTCCTCTCGTCATAGCCCCACAGCACTACTCTCTGGCCCTGAGTATGTCTGGGAAGATGTGCTGGTTCAGGCCTGCTGGTGTGTGTACATGTGGAGACACACACACTGTGCACACGCCATGCACACATGCACGCACACACAGTACATACATGCCCTTGCCCCTGTGGCTGCTGCGCCCCTGCAGGGACCTTGGTACCAGCCCACCTGAGGCCCCTGCTTTCCCACAGAGGGAGCGAGAGAACGGCTCCAACCTGGCCTTCATGTTCCGCCTGCCATTCGCAGCCGGCCGCGTCTTCAGCATCAGCATGTTGGATACGCTACTCTACCAGGTCAGCTGGGAGGCGGCAGCAGGAGGGTGGTGCCTGGGTGGGACCCCCATCATGCCTTCGGCTCTGCAGCCTGGTCCCCATTCTGAGCACTATGCCTCTCTCTGAACAACCATCCCTGGATTCCAAGGAGGCCTCTGGGCCCTGTCCTTGTCCTGGGGATTTCTGGTCCCTTTTTGACCTGTGGGTGCTTGGCAAGTGACTTTCCTCAGAAAAGGCCTCCCTGTGGGTTACACGGTGCTCGGGAACCTGAGGGCTTGTGTGTGTGTGTGTGTGTGTGTGTGTGTGAGGTACGGCAGGCCCATGGCCAGTGGGGTGTGGACCTGTGTCCCACGTGGTGCCCACATGTCTTGCTCTGCCTCCTTCCCTCCCTCCCTCCCTGGCAGTCCTTCGTGAAGGACTACATGATCACCATCACCCGGCTGCTGCTGGGCTTGGACACCACACCAGGCTCCGGCTACCTCTGTGCTGTAAGTGCCCCTGCTGGTCTGGGCCGGGCTGGGGTGTGCTGGGCTGTCCCAAGCCGGTGGGTGGGCACCCACCCCTGATGAAGGCAGCCCGGAGGCTCTGGGTGCTGCCACCTGCCCAGGGCTGGCTGGCTCAGGGCTCTCCTACACTGCAGATGAAAATCACCGAGGGCGACTTGTGGATCCGCACCTATGGCCGCCTCTTCCAGAAGCTCTGCTCCTCCAGTGCTGAGATCCCCATCGGCATCTATAGGACAGAGAGCCACGTCTTTTCCACCTCGGAGGTTCTGGGCAGCCCAGGAGCTGGGACTGGTGGCCCCATTGTCCTGTGTGACTCACACCATCCCCACCTTCGGTGTTGGGGACCTGGGCTAGATCAGCTTTGCCATTGCCAGTGGCTCTTTCCATCTAGCCCGGGTGCCCACACTTGGTGCTTCCAGCTGGGGCAGCCATGACCCCAACCGTGGGCAGAGAAGGTCAGGGGAGGCTTGAGGAAGCACATGGGAAGCCCCTTGGTGCAGCTCACATAGCAGCAGGCACCCTGCCTGCCAGCCCTAAGCATGTTCCGTGCAGACCGCAGGCAGAGGCGGTGTGGGGGGAAGGGGTGCGTCCGCAGGTCCCAGACTGTGCCTGGTTTCCTTTGCAGCCCCATGATCTCAGGGCCCAGGTAAGCAACCCCTCCGTGCCCACGCAGCCTCTTCCAAACACCAGCGCATCCCAGCTTCACAGGAGAAGCCTGCCATGCCCTACCCACCCACGGGGCCCCCCGGGAAGCCAAGACAGGAGTGGGTCCCACATGGATGTGTTGGGCCCAGCACGGCTCAGAGGGTGCTTGACAGTCACTCCCTTCTGCACTGGTGGTGGGGAATTGAGGCCTGGGGGGAGGTGCCTGTGAGTTTGGACACAGGTGTACCCTGCCCCTCTCAGGCCCAGCCCTGCCTCCCCCAGACCCCACCAAGGCAGGCATCCCCCATGGCCATCTGGCCTGACTATCCAGCCCCCAGCCTCCCAGGCTTTTCCGAAGGTGCCGCCCAGATGGGGGGTCCTGCCTCTCCCAGCACCCCACACCTCCCAGGCCCTTGCATCCCACATCCCACATTCCGCCGGCTCCAAGCCTCTGAAAGTTTTGTTTGCAAGAGGAACCATGGCCCATCTGCAGATGGAGAAACGGAGGGTGGATCCCCAGGGCAAGGCCAGGGTGTGCCGGAGTCCAGATGGGTTCCCAGCCGGAACCACAGAAATAAGGGCCCAGAGAGATGAAGGGAGCTGGTGAATCCCATGACCAGGCCCCGGACAGGGCAGGTAGCTGGGAGATCTGGGCTCAGGAAAAAGCCACGGACCAGGCATGTTCTCCCCAGAGGAGGAAGGTACCTGCACCCCTGGGGTCTGTCGTCCTCTTCCCAACACCCCCAGCTGCCCCACCCAGGCCCCCAGGCCCCAGAGCCTGCATCCCCTCTCCGCCGCCTCATCCCTCCCTGCCTGCCCAGTCCCAGATCTCAGTGAACATGGAGGACTGCGAGGACACGCGGGAAGTGAAGGGGCCCTGGGGCGCGCGCGCTGGCACTGGAGGCAGCTCCCACAGCCGCCACACAGGCGGCGGCGACCCCGCAGAGCACCCGCTGCTGCGGCGCAAGAGCCTGCAGTGGGCACGGAGGCTGAGCCGCAGGGGACCCAAGCAGGTGGGCCGGGCAGCGGCCGCGGAGTGGATCAGCCAGCAGCGCCTCAGCCTGTACCGACGCTCTGAGCGCCAGGAGCTCTCCGAGCTGGTGAAGAACCGCATGAAGCACCTGGGGCTGCCCACCACCGGCTACGGTAAGGATGCCTAGCCCGGGTGCGGGCGGAACGGACGGATGGGGCCAGGGTCGGGCCACAGCCAACAGTCGGCTGCGGCATCCCAGGGCCAGGCCATCCTCCTGTCTGTCGGCCTTTCCAGACACACTCTGCCTGCCCCTCCTGGGGGCCCAGCTGTGGGTATCACCACCACGGCCCCAGCAGAGACCCTGTGCAGAGGAGGGTGGAGGAGGGGCGTGGCCACAGCCCACCCAGGTGCTGGGAGGCACAGGACCCTGCAGCATCCTTGGTGCTGAGCCCCATGGGGAGGTGCTCACTCCCACTGCCGTGGGGCCTCAGTTTCCCTCTCTACTAAATGGGAGCTGGCTGAGCCCTTCAGGAGAGGCAGCTGTCAGGTGCAGAAGACCAGGCTGGGCTCCCCAAGTCAACAGTGTCAGTGACAGGGCAGCTGGCTGCAGCCAGTCCTGCTGGACATCGAATACCCAGGGCCCCTGAGTTCTCGCAGAGGTCAAGACTGTGGTGGGAGCCCCCAGCCCTCCCAGCAGTCAGTGTGGAGGGGACCTTGTCTTTGAGGGGACAGCTGGGGGAATGGTCCATGCCAGGACACACCTCCGTCCACCATGGCCTGCTGCCACTCCCACAGCACAGCCCCCCTCCTGCTGCTCAGGGAGCCTGGCATCTGTCTCCAGCAGCAGATCTGTGCAGCCCCTCTCTCTGTGCCTCGTGGTGGGAAATGTGCTTGGGCCCCAGGTGCCCTGCTTTCATGGAGGGAAGCTCATCCCCTCCCTCACTCTAGAGACGCTACCTCCGTTGATGAGACCACAGGCCCAGCTCCCCTGCACCAGGCTGCTCCCCAGTGACGCCCACCCCTGGGCTGCGTCATGGCATTGCCCTTCCTTTGGTTCCATCTCGGGGACCTGCCCAGTGCTTAAGGCTGCCTCTGTCCTGTTGGGGTGCCAGGTCTCCCAACCCTGCTTCCTGTGTCTGTCACCTGGGTCAGGGGCCTTGACTCCCCCGAGCAGAGTCCAGAGCTCAGGGCTGGCCTGGGAGCTACCCACGTGTCACTGGGCTGGACTGTCTGCCCGAAGGAGACTCAAAGGCCATGGTTTGGGGAACAGGTGGCCCATGAAGACCCTTCCCGGCCCCAGCCCTGTGCGTGTTGTGGAAGGCGTCCCCATGTCCCCTCCTTGAAGCTTCCCTCCATCCCCAGAATGTCCCTGTCCCGGGAGGGGCTCCTGAGGCTGAGAGGTGTGCCCGGCCTTCACCTTCATGTTCCCCCATGACTTGGGAGAGGATGATCCAGCCTGGTCCGGCCACCCCCAGAGCTTGGCAAGGGAGGAGCAACTGCCTTTCTGGTGACCGACTCGCTTCCGGTGGCCAGCGCTGGCTGCAGGTCCTGGGGTGGCTGGCCGACCACGCAGCTGCCCCCACACCCTCCCGCTGTGCCGGCCACCTGCACCTCGCTTGCTGACTCTCTCTCTCTCTCTGTTTCTGTCTGTGCCTCTTTCTGTGTGTTCTGTAGAGGACGTAGCAAATTTAACAGCCAGTGATGTCATGAATCGGGTAAACCTGGGATATTTGCAAGGTAATTCTGCTCTGGTGGGCTCCACACTGCGCCACGGGGCTCGCCAACCCTTCACCACTGGCAGCCTTCCGCGCCGTCCCAGCCAGGCAGGTGCACAGGAGCTGTGAGAGCAGGTCCCAGCTGTCAGCCCAGGTAGCCCTGTGGGGCGAGGCCTCACACATCCAGAGTGTCCCCTGGCTAGGTGCTGAGGACGGGCCTGAGGCTGAGGTCTGGGGCTCGTGCTGGTCAGGGTGCTGCTGGCCACCAGGCAGGGTGGAGACTGCCTAGCTCGGGGCTCACCCATTGGTGCTGCTGCTTTGCTGTTTAAGATGACCCCTAATGGGACCGGTGGGCCACCTGGCCTACAGCCAGCCCCTCCCTGTGGCCAGCCCCATGAGAGGTCTGAGGACTCTAAGCCCAGATGGCCCCAAGCCAGGGCCCCAGAAGGAGCTCGGTGAAGCCTGGGCTGGATGCCGGGTGGGGATTCCAAGCCACGGGGAGTGAGCAGGCTTTGTGGCCGCCCAGTCCTGGTGGATGGTGACCTCTGTCCTCCAGCTGGGGCTCCACAAGGGGATTCTTCCTGCTCGGCTGGGGCAGAGCCAGTCCACACCCTGTTCTGGGTGCTCAGAACCCCATTTCTTCCATCAGTGCTGTACTCCAGCAGTGCTCAGAGCAGTCTGGGCCACTCCCAGGGGTCATGGCAGCCTCAGGGGAACTCAGAGCTTGCATCTGCTGCCACCTCTCCCTACAGGGTGACCTGGGAACTTGAAGGGCCTCCTGAGCCCAGGCAGGTATTAACTCGGGAGGGACCTGTTTGCCAGGATGGCCGTGCGTGCAGCTGGAGGCAGGCCCAGGCCCGGGGCAGCCACAGAAGTAAAGCTCCAGCCTCTCCCGGGTCTGTGCTTTTCCCTATGTTGGCACTAAGGGAAGTCCCTGGCTCTACCAGGCACCGTGGGGCTCGGATCCACAGCTAGTGGCATTCATGAGCAGAATGTACTGTCCCCTGCTCCCCACGCCCACAGTGCAGCTTCCTGCGGCTCCCGCTGCATTCCAGGACAGGCAAGGCCACAGTGGGCTTGGGGCAGGGGCTCAGAGGACCCATTCGGCAGGCATTTCCTGAGCTCAGCTTACGTGCCTGGCAGGGTGAAGGTGCCGGGGCTAGGGGCCTGCACCCCTGTGTTTGGATTCAAGCGGAGCCTAGGCCAGGGCACAGAACAGGGAGAGTCATGCTCTGTGGGGGGGAGGATGGGCAGCATCTTGGGGCCCCTCCAGCATGCAGCCCCCATCCCACACACAATGGGAGGAGCCAGCCCAGCCCCGATAGGCAAATAAATACCTCTTTGCATCTTCCTCATGGCCACCCTGGGGGAGGCCCTAGTTACCCCATTTATAGAGAAGGAAACTGAGGCTCAGATCGGATAGCTCTGGCCCAGTGTGGGGGATTCAGGCAGGAGTGACCATGGATGCCAGTGGCCATGGGGTCTGGAAGCTCTGGGACCTGCAGGGTTAGGATGGGGTCTGAGGCAGAGCTCCCACTGAGGCCTGGAGTGAGGGTCTGGCTGGAGGAGTCAGGTAGCCCTGGGGACCAGGGGTGAGGTGACCCTGCTCCAGGACAGAAGAGCCGAAGCCAGCCCCGGGCACACCTGCTGCCTGCCTTTACCAAGCACAGTGAACACTCAAAGCTAGACCTCTGTGCCCACCCTGGGCAGCCAGGGCCAGTGCCACGTGACTGACCACAACCCAGCCCCTACCACTGCAGCTGGGGCCTGGTGTCCCCGCCCCACCCCGCCCCACCCCGCCCTGCTTGGCTCAGCCCAGCTACGAGCTCTACTCACGTCAGAAGCCTGTGGTCTCAGCGCCCCAGGGGGAGAAGCTGGGGCCTGGGGGCCAGTCTGTGCCTGCCTGCAGAAGTGAAACGAGCTGGTGGCCCCTTGTTCTCAGTGTCCCACTGTGTGCTCATCATGAAGCACCAGTCAGGCAGCTCTGGTGGGGTCGAGGGGGCAGGGTCCCAAGAACCTCCGAGAGCCGCCTGTCCCACCCACTGCTGCCCCCTTTCTGTGCCACCTGCCGGATAGCCACCCTAGAGGTGTGTGCAGGCACCTGGGTGTGGTGGGGGGAGTGTACCTCCCTGCACAGCCCCAGCATGAGGCCCCCAGGCCTCCACCAAAGGCCTGGGGAAGTCCCTGCCCTGGGCTTTGGGAAAAGAGCAAGACGGCTGTGAGGGGCAGGTGTCAGGCCGTCCCATCCCCCAGGCGTGGACACAGGAGCTGGCACCAAGTGACCCGCCAGGATGCAAAAGGCCCAAGGCAGAGCTGGTCTGGCCAGAGCTGCCCAGTCGGCCCCCAGGTCCGAGCCTATGCCCCCCTCCCGGGCAGCAGCTATGCTCACAGTGGGAAGTCAGAAGCCCCCACAGCAGAGGGACTGGCATGGCCCACGCCTGGCTGGGCAGCCAGCAGCATCCCAATTTTTCCCTTCACAGGGGCCATAGTGGGGCTGTCCCAAGGGGAGAGGACGGGCAGAAAGAATGGAATGGCAGCAGCCAGGATGGAGGCCGTCCAGGACAAGGCTCCCTGGGGTTCCCTTGTCCTGGGTCACCTTTGTTCTCTGTCCGTGGATTCTGGAACAGGAGACGGGAGGTTTCCTTAGACACCAACAGATGGGTAAACAGAGGCCAGAGGCCCTCCTTCTCGGCCAGTGAACCCAGGGCTGCTGCTGGGATGCTGGCCTCTCCCTGTGCTTGGCAGCCTGCCCTGCCGGCCCCACAAAGACTGAGACGACGGGGGCATGTTTCTCCAGAACCGGTCTCACTCCGTGAGCCAGACGCCAGGCCGTCTCCCACGAGAGGCGGGGCCATGTTCTCAGAGGGATGAGCTGGGGCAGGGCTGTGCCCTGAGCTGATGCCACTCAGGACTTGAGTCCAAAGCAAAGGGCTGAGCACAGGGAGCAGGAGTGGCCACCCAGGCCCAGGATGGCAGCAGCTGCAAGGGTCCTGTGGGAGGGGCAGGGCTGAGCCGCCTTCGGAGCCTGTGGTCGGTGTGGATGTGGAGGACAGTGGGCAGGTGTCTGTGTGGTTGTGTATACAGGTGTGCATGCAGGTGTGTAGGGGTTTGCAGACAGCATGGATGTGGGGGGCTGTAGAGATGTGTGCAGATAGACACAAATGTGTGTGGCATACAGAGGTGAAGATGGAAGTATATAGGTGTGTATGCCGGGCATGTGGGTGTATACACAAATGTGTGCATGGGAGGTGAGGCGTGTAGTTCCGTGTAGCAGATGTGCAGGTGGAGATGAAGGTGTGCATGCAGGGTGTGTGCAGCTGTCAGGTGTGTGTATAGGGGGGTGGGGCGTGTAGTTCTGTGTGGGTGTATCCAGGTGTGTGCAGGTAGAGATGAAGGGGTGCATGGCAGGTGAATGGTGAACATACACCTGCCAGTGTGTGCTAGTGCGTGACATACATGGCAGGTGTATGTGGGTATGCTCAGTGGCTCTGCTCAGAGCCACCCCTTTGTGGCAATGCCACCTGGCACCAGAAGGGGGTACAGGTCAGAGCTGGCTCCCGGCTGCCCTCGTGGCTGCCCCCTGCCCAGTGTGGGGATGGGTTGGGGACAGGTGTTGGTTGGGCCCTGGCTGGGCTCACCAGGATGAGTCGCTGGAGCAGAACACTCAGGAAGGCCGGAAAGACAGCTCATCCTGGAGCCCCCACACCTCCGGGCCCCTGCAGACCTGGGAGGGGCAGGGCTGGGGGTGACATTTGCCCGGCTGTGTCCTTTGCAGATGAGATGAACGACCACCAGAACACCCTCTCCTACGTCCTCATCAACCCTCCACCTGACACGCGGCTGGAGCCCAATGACATTGTGTGAGTAGCACCTGCAGGCTGTGTGCAGACGCCCTGAGCACCACGTGGGCACTGGGGAGGCGGGGCCACAGGCACCACGGAAGGGTGGCTCAGAAGAGGGCTGGGCAGGGCTGCCTGGACCACATCACCTCCAGGAACCCCTCTGCCCTCCCGCAGCTATCTCATCCGCTCCGACCCCCTGGCTCACGTGGCCAGCAGCTCCCAGAGCCGGAAGAGCAGCTGCAGCCACAAGCTGTCATCCTGCAACCCCGAGACTCGAGATGAGACCCAGCTCTGACACAGACAGAGCTCAGGCTGCCAGGCGGGAGAGTTGTGCCCTGCCAGGGTCCTCAGGAAGGACGTGGAGGAGCGAGTGAAGACGCTGTGGCACTCGGGTGACCCTAGGATGCCACACTCTGCTCACGTGGCTCCCGGAACTCCACCCAGAAAGGAGGCCCTCATGCTGTGCGGGGGAGGGCCAGCTTACCTCTGGGCACCTGCAGGCTGGTGGGGAGAGTTTTTTAACCTATTTTTACAAATCGATGAGTCCATGTCTCTTTACACAGATGTACCGCAACTCGTGACCAGGGCTGGTTGGGAGGGCAGTGCAGGGACTGGACACCCTGCAGGGCTGAGGCCAGGCTGTGTTAGAGGGTGGGGCTGGGGTGCATGGGAAGGGGAGAGAACCCAGAACCCAGGAGCCTCACGTGGGCCACAGCCAGCTCCGAGCCGGCCTGAGTGTTCACAGCCAAGCAGCTTCGCTTCCTGCCAGCCAGGGCCTGGGGGCCAGGGTGCTGGTCTCCATTCTGTGGGCTGGGCAAGGGGCCCTCTGCTGTTTGCCGTCCTGAGCCCCTTCTGGAAGTCAGATGCCGTGAAGGGCCCAGGGAAGCCGGGCATGTGAGAGGGGTGCGTCCCCAGGTTCCCAGACAGCCCTGCTGCCATTGACCTTTCTGAAGAGAAGCAGGAGAGCTGTTTTCTCTACTTCGCACTGAACTTCTCCAGCTCCTGCGTCTGGGGGACATTGGGCGCACAGATGGTGCATTTCCATGGACCATTTTACACCCTTTTAAAGCAACGCCTCGTTTTCTAAACCCCGACCTGTGAAGCACAATTAAGCCTCCGGGCTGGGCCGTGTGGACGGAGGATCTCAGCAAGGGGAATCCCAGCAGCGGCTGACAGTAGGAGCCACCCTGTGTCCTTTGCCGCTGGGTCCTCACTGATTTGTGTGGGCAGCGCTGGGACCGTCTATTAAACAGATGCATTCTGGAGGCACGAAGTTATGAGTTGTCTCGCTCATGGTTCCAGGCTCTCACCCTCTCAGCCACCCCATTTTAGGGTTAGAAACACCTGCTGGGGTCCCCCACCCCAACCTCACAGGCAAGCCCCCATCCCCCAGCTAGGCCAGGACAGTCCTTCCCAAAATCAGGACCCAAATTGTATTTAGCCATTGGTGACTGGATCCTTGTAGCCAGGAGAGCCGCCTGGTGGTGGAGGTTCCAGAGTCCAGGAGGGCTCTCTGGTGAGCTGCCCGTCAGCCTCACCTCTGTAGCCGGGCGTGGCCCTGGGATCGGCCCACAGTGGCACAGAACTCCTGAGGCAAGCGGCTACTAGGGCTCCCCTACACAGGGCATCAGGGCTGCCCCAGGTGGGGAACGTGCTCATGCCTCACCATGTTCATTTCAGGGTACCCCAAGAGGCTGAAGCAGACGGACCAAAAGGCCAAGGCGCAGCCCCTCCCTGGTGTCAGGGCAGACAACACCGCAGCTGCTGGAGAGGCCGGCATGGCCACACAGCTAGCTAGCCCTTCACTCCCGGCCTTCTGGGACCCCCCTGCTCAGAAGGTGCCCACTAGCCCTCGGTGGGGGACAGAGCCGGATGTGGGTGGTCACAAAGAGGCTGTGTGGATTCGGGAGGCAGAAAGTCCCAGGACCCTGATGGAGTGGCAAGGGTTGACGTTGGGGTGGGGTGGCTAGGGCCTGTCCCAGCAGGGCTGTGGTCTGTCAAGCCCCAGGGACCCAACTGGCAAGCTTGCCCTCCCCTGCAGTCCCCCTACAGCAGACTGACCCAAGCCTGCCCCACCTGGATGGCCTCTCATGTCACCCAAACCCTGGCCCCCAGGAGAGGGGGGCTGCAAGTGCCTGTAGGAAGGGGAGGGGAGGGGGGAGAAAAGACACCCTGGCTGCTCGGACAGGAAGATCACCTTGTGCTCCATCTGGGTGGGGCTGCAGCCTCCCCCCCAGCCCCACACTGGGAAGAGCTGGCCTCTAGGAGGCACCGAGGGGCAGTCACGTGACTTGTTGGGGATTGACTTACGATGTGGATGGTGTCCCTGGAGTCCTTTCTGGTCCCTCCACCTCTGCGAGGCCGGGAGGCATCTTCACCTTTGAGCCTCTCTCCAAGGGTGTGTGGAGTCCCCCAAAGAGGGTGGGGCTTGCTGCCTAGGAGAGGCTGGGGGGCACCTTTCGGACTCTGAAAACACGGGAGGTCTGTTCCCTCCTGCACGTCTGCTGCCGTGGCACCATTCTCATAATCTCCAGTAGCGAGGTCACTTCCAGTCCAGCCCTGGACATCCGAAGGGGAGGCGGGCATTCCCTGCACCTTTACTAACCAGAGGATGCCAGGCCCTGGGCCCCCTGCTCTGCCTGGACAGAGCTCATGGAGCTCATGAGGGCAGCTGTGGACACAGGCGGCACCCAGTGCCCAGTGGCCTGTAACTCCTCCTGTGGGTAAGGCTGGGAGCCAGGGGCTGGGCTGTGAGATACCAGCTGCCAGCCCAGTAAAAGCTGCCTGCAGCATCTGGAACTTCTGCGCTCGGCCTTGGCCTCTATGGTTTTCATCTCCAGGTTTAGAAAGTACCTGGGGTGCCTCTCAGCTTGTCCTGAGCCCGCTCACCAACACCCCCGGCTTGCACAGTTGTGATATCAGGAAAGTGGGTCCCTGCTCCCGGAGCTGTCCTCGTCCACCATCGTGTCTCCCAGCCGCATGCCCTGCTGACCCGTGCAAGGTCCCCGTGCAAAGCCTACACCAAGTGAAGCAGGATCTGAGCAAAGGTTGCAGAACTGGATTCCATGTCGTCACCGCCCAGAATGAGCTAACAGGATTTTTTTAATGCTTTTCGGGTTTTGAAACATACAAAATTAGTGAGAAACCTGCTATTTTCCTTATTCCTGACTCATCTAACAGAAGACTGGGCAGGGCACAGTATCTCACACCTGTAATCTCAGTACTTTGGGAGGCTGAGGTGGGTGGATGACGAGGTCAGGAGTTCAAGGCCAGCCTGGCCAAGATGGTGAAACCTCATCTCTACTCAATACAAAAAGCCGGGCGTGGTGGCGGGCGCCTGTAGTCCCAGCTACTCAGGAGGCTAAGGCAGGAGAATTGCTTGAACCTGGGAAGTGGAGGTTGCAGTGAGCCAAGATCGTGCCACTGTACTCCAGCCTGGGTAACAGAGTAAGAAAAAAAAAAAAAGAAAAGGCTATGGAATCATATAAAATGCTTAATTCAAACCAGAGAAAGCAGAAAAGAAAAGGAGACAGAAACTCAGACCAAGGGCAACAAATGGAAATAGTTACAAGGCGGTCGGTGTTAATTCCATAAAACCAGTCACCACGTTAAATGTGAATGAATTGGTCTAAATACACCAATTAAAAGACAGAGACTGGCTGGACGAGGTGGCTCACGCCTGTAATTCCAGCACTTCAGGAGGCCGAGGCAGGCAGATCACCTGAGGTCAGGAATTTGAGACCAGCCTGAAACATGGTGAAACCCCATCTCTACTAAAAATACAAAAACTAGCTGGGCATGGTGGCGGGTGCCTGTAGTCCCAGCTACTCTGGAGGCTGAGGCAGGAGAATCGCTTAAACCCAGGAGAAGGAGGCTGCAGTGAGTGAGCCAAGATCATGCCACTGCACTCCAGCCTGGGTGACAGAGCGAGATTCTGTCTCAAAAAAAGAAAAGAAAACAGAGACTGACAGTGGACTTTTTAAGTCCCCAAGTGATAGAGTCACATGAGCAGCACGCCAGCCCCAGCTTCAGCAGTCCTCAGCCCTATTCTCCCGCTCTACCCTGCACACACCTCAGGCCTGGATGTGTGTACAGGCTGGAGGGTTTTCAAGTGACCCCTAGATGGCACGTGATTTTACAGCGAGCAGTGTGGCCAGCCAGCTCCCCGAAGCTGTAGCTCCTGAAGGGCCCCTGGGGACAGGAAGGTGTCCCGCTCAGCAAACAGGTGCTCGCTGCTGGAGAGGTCCAACCTGGTCAGGAGCACAGGCCGCAAAAGGCACTCAGAGCAGGTGGCACAGCTGTTGGAAGCCAGGAAGAGCTCCTCCAGGCAGGCACCTGCTTGAAGGTGGCAGGTGAGTGATGCAGTTGACAGAGGGTGCATGTACCTCACTCAGCGGGGAAACTGAGGCATGGCCTCTTCATGACCTTGCCACCTGCCAGGGCATTGGCTACCATGATCAGCCCCTACAGTGCCCCCAGGTCCCAGAAAGCTGCCATCTCTGCCCCACAGCTGCCTGGATGGTTGTATGTGAGGACCAGGCTCCAGAGGCCCCCACCTTGCATGGGTGGAAGGCACAGAGCTGTGAGGGGCACTGAGACGCAGCCTCTGCAGAGCGAGGGCTTCTCCAGGAGCAGAGGAGTCAGGACTGAGGACCAAGGACGCTCAGAGAGCAGGCGGCCCAGCCCCTCCAGCTGCCCGGAGCCTCACAGCTCCTCTCGCCAAAATTGGGTTGCAGGGGGCCACAGGGCACATGGGGTAGAATCCCGTGGAGCCCCCAACTCACCTACTGCTGCAGCTCCCAGCCCACCCCAGAGGACAGCAGCCAGGAGCCCTCCTGGCCTCCGAGGAGCCCAGATCCCCAGGGGGCTGACAGCGGCTTGACCTCCTGACAGCCAAGCCTCAGCCCCAACCCCCAAGCTCTGCACTCTCCCAGGATGGGAGCTCCCACCCAGCCGTCACTGGGCCCTCAGCTCAGGCTGTCCTCTGGCGCCACCTCCACACATGAGTTCTCTCTGTTCCCCTTTGCACAGCTGGGCTTCTCCAGCCTTCCCCGCATGCTGTCCTCTCTTGCTCACCCCACACAGCGCTCCCCAAAACACACCCTGAGTCAGGCTGGCTCCTGGCCACTGAACCCGAAGGGTGCCACTGGGTCTCACCTCACTTGACCTTCACTGGACATTCACCCCACCTGTCCTCCAAAGAGTCTGTCCCGGCCCTCCCGATCGTCCTCACGCAGCCCAAACTACTGAAGTTTGCCGGTGCTGACCCATCTACCAGCCCCTCCGGAAGCCCCTCCATCCCCACTCAAGTCTGGGAACCCACCAGCCTACTCCACACTCCAGGTGGCTATCTTGGGAGCACCTCAGACTCCATGCATCTAAGCTGATCCATCTGTCACCCCCTGAGACCGCAGGTCCTCAGTGTCCCCCACCCACACCCTGAGCCCCTCTGCCGTGTCTCACACAGGCACTAGGGCCACCTGCCTTCTGTCCTTTGCTCCCCAAGCAGCCTCTGCCCTCCCCAGTACCACAGCAGCCTGGGAATGCTCCTCTTCCTGTGCCTTGGGCCCTCTGTCTACTCTCTGTAACCAGAGCTGACCCTTACACCTACCCTGTCACTGTCTAAAATCCTGGGGTGCATTGTGACGACGCAGCCCTACATTCTGAGAGTGGCTGTGAGTTCGTCCCGGGCTGGGCCCTGGGGCTTGGCCACAGCGCCTGGCACCCAGGATGCTCCTGGAAGGCACTGATGGCTGTTTGGCACCAGCTCCCTTCCAGCCAAGCATCAAACACGGCCTACCCTGGAAGGCCCTGGGAACAGCCTGACCCTGGCTGTACTCCGATCTCCATCCCCGCAGGAGCTGGCCAGGGCAGGCCTTGCGCCTGGCCCTGGATTTTTTGCTGCGGTGAGACCAGCCCCTCGTGCAGCAGACAGGACAGATGTGGAGGAAGCAGCCCACGGCGGCAGCTCACACACCAAAACACCAGCAGTGCTGCAGACTCCGGTACGCAGCTGCCAGCCAGCCAGGCATCACGCGTTGTCCCCACCTCCCACCGCCCTCCACCTGCCCTGCTCCGGTCCTGCTGGGTGGTGGACAAGCCTGCCTGGTCTCCACCTCTTCTGAGGTTGTGCCTCCTCTTGCCGCCTGGGGCCTGCACGCTGGAGTGCTGTGCCTCTAACATTCCGTCCGTAGGTCATGAGCTGCCCCTCCTCTCTCCATCACTCCTCCATGGCGCTGTGGGCTCAGGGTCATGTCTCTCCACCGCCCATAA